GGAGAATGCGTGCGCAGGTCCCCCACCCTCTTGATGGAGGCCAATGCAACCAGGAGTGCTGTCTTCATGGACAGAAACTTTAACTCTACTGATTGCAAAGGCTCAAAGGGATGCCTCTGCAGAGCACTTAAAACTACCGAGAGGTCCCAAGAGGGTACGAGGGGAGGACGAGGCGGATTGCAGCCTCCTCGCCCCTCAGGGAAACCTGATGACCAGTTCGTGCTTCCCTAAGGACTTACCTTCACTGCATATTGAGAAGCGGAATGGCCGCGACGTAAACCTTAAGGGGTGAGGGCGACAGCCTGCGCTCCAACCCTTCTTGCAGGAAGGAAGCACGACCTCCGATCGGAACACCTCCGGGGGTCTTCTCTCGAGAAGAACACCAATTGACGAAGAGGTTCCACTTCAACGCATAAAGTGTCTCGTGGACGACGCTCTTGCGGAAGTGATGGTTGCCGCCACCGCAGGTTGGCAGCGAACTCAAACCTGCCCACACGTGCAGCCTCCAAAGATCGGACGGGGTGCCACAGAGTGCCCGTCTCTGAGAGAGTAGGTCCTGTCTCAGAGGAATAGGCCAAGGAGGTGCTGTCGCGAGGAGCATGAGTTCGGAGAACCACGTGTTGGTGGGCCAGTAGGGGGCTACCAGCAAGACCTGCTCCTCGTCCTCCTTGATCTTGCACAACACCCGTGCAAGGAGGCTCACTGGGGGAAACGCATACTTGCGTGGGCCCCGTGGCCAGCTGTGCGCCAGCGCATCTGAGCCGAGCGTACCCCAGGTCAGGGAATAAAACTGGGCGCAGTGGGACGAGTCCCGAGAGGCGAACAGATCTATCTCTGCCTCCCCGAACTGGTCCCAAATCAGCTGGACCGACTTGGATGGAGTCGCCATTCGCCGGAGACGGACGGGACCCCGTGACAGCTCGTCGGCTGCCAGGTTCCGGTCTCCAGGAATGTATACTGCACGAAGGGACCTCAGGTGCTTCTGACTCCATATCAAGAGGTGGCGGGCGAGCTGCGACAACCGGCGCGAGCGTAGACCCCCCTGGTGGTTGATGTACGCTACTGCCGTAGTGTTGTCTGAACGGACAAGCACGTGCTGGCCGACAGCAACGCTCTGAAGCGGTGCAGGGCGAGCCGTACTGCCAGCAGCTCGAGGCAATTGATGTGCATGAGGCGCTGGGCTCCTGTCCAGGAACCGGCGGCTGCATGCCCATTGCACATGGCACCCCCAACCCGTGGTAGTAGATGCATCCGTGGAGACAACGAGATGCCTGGAAACTGCTCGGATAGGGACGCCGGTCCGTAAAAGAAGCTAGGTTCGACCACGGTAAGAGGGTTCGGCGGCACGCTGGAGTCACTGGAAACTCGGAGCGAACCGCGATGCCATGCCCACCTCGGGACTCGATCGCGAAGCCACAGCTGAAGCGGTCTCATATGAAGCCATATGGATGCCATATGCCCCAGGAGCCTCTGAAATAGTTTCAGTGGAACCGCACTCTTGCCCTCGAACTGTCGAAGACAAGTCAGCAGTGAGAGCGTGCGCGCGCTCGCTCGTGAGCTGCGCGGACATGGCGACCGAGTCTATCTCCATGCCGAGAAAAGAGATCCTCTGCACGGGGCAAAGTTTGCTCTTTTCCCGGTTGACCCGAAGGCCCAGACGGGCTAGGTGCCGGAGCACCAGGTCTCTGTGTTCGCAAACCTGAGCTCGAGAGTGTGCCAGTATCAGCCAGTCGTCGAGATAGTTCAGGATGCGAACCCCGTGCTCACGAAGGGAACAAGGGCTGCCTCGACGATCTTCGTGAAGACGCGAGGGGACAGAGCTAACCCGAATGGGAGAACCGTGTACTGATATGCCTGGCCCTCGAAAGCAAACCGAAGAAACGGTCTGTGTCGAGGCAAAATGGAGACATGAAAGTACGCGTCCTTCAGGTCGATCGCTGCAAACCAATCCTGAAACCGAACGCATTCGAGAATGCGTTTGGCTGTGAGCATTTTGAACGGTAGTCGATGGAGAGAACGGGTTCAAAATGCACAGGTCCAGATCGGTCGTAACCCACCGGTCGTTTTTGGGGACAATGAAGTAGGGGCTGTAAAACCCGGACCTCATCTCGGCTGGAGGGACCGTCTCGATTGCACCCTTCGCCAGCAGGGTCAATCTCCGCTCTCATGACCGGGGTATTGCCACCGACCATCGTGGAGCGAACTCCCTGAAACGGGGAGGAGACCGTGCGAACTGAATCGCGTAGCCGAATCTGATCGTTCTGATGACCCAGCGGGACAGCCCGGGCAGCTCTAGCCAGGCTTCCAGGAAGTGAACCAGCGGTCATACGAACCACAGACGTCCCCCGGAGGGGCAGCGAGGCGGGTCGACCAGCATGCGCGCAGGAGTTACCCCCCCGGATGCACCGTCGAGACCCGCCCTCCGCCTAGAGAAGGACCCAGGGGAAGCGCAGAGCGTTCCACGGGGATCTCTTCTTGCCGCGGGAGATCTGAGATTGGGGAAGAGAGTGGGCGAAGCCCGGCACGACACACGCACCCTTCCGCGCCCTCAGAGACAGAGAGGAGTGTGTGGGCTGACGCACTGGGACGTCGAGCGCACCCACTCCAGTCTGTGGGCTCAGTGATGATGTCAAGTCTTTCTTTAACAAACTCAGGGTGCTGCCCACCCGTGGGTGAGCAGCGGGGAGCTAAAAACAAAAGATTCTCCCCGGCCCTCCACCGGGGGAAGGAGGGGCCTGCTACCGCCTCCTGGGAAAGACTCGACTTCGTCACTGAGCAACCGTGTCAGGATCGTCGCTTGGCCTGGCGTTTAGCGGGGCGTGCGGCCTGAGGGGGCTGCGACGCCTGCCTGCGGCCTCCTCCACGCCGTGGCCCGGGTGAAGGCTGCTGCTGGGGCCGGGCGGGAGGGAGGGAGCCGCAGGGGGGCGTCCTCGGCGGCGAGCAGCGGGAGGCATCTGTGCCGGCGACTGGGTGGAGGCAGCAGCTGGTCGCCGGGGCAGAATGTGTTTAATTGCCTCCGTCTGCTTCTGGGCAGTGGAGAACTGCTGGGCGAAGTCCTCGACTGCACCGCCGAAAAGGCCAACCTGGGAGAGAGGGCGTCGAGCAGACGAGTCCGCTCAGCGCTCCTAACGTCTGCCCGGTTGAGCCAAAGACGACGCTCCTGGACCACACTGGTGGCCATCACCTGACCAACGGCGCGAGCGGCCACTTTCGTTGCCCGGAGAGCAAGGTCAGTGGCGGACCGCAAATCTTTAAATGCCGTTGGATCAGTCCCGCCCTCGTGCATGTCTCTGAGCATCTTCGCTTGGAAAACCTGCAAAGTGCTCAGGGCATGCAAAGCGGAGGCCGCCTGTCCCGCCGCTCTATAGGAACGCGCCGCCATAGCAGACGAGAACCCACAGGCTTTGGATGGTGCTTAGGAGGACCACGGGAGGAGGACACAGCTGCATCACGACAGAGCGCTCCACCGGGGGCATCCCAGTGTACCCACGGGCGGCCCCACCATCGAGGGGGGGAAAGGCGGGGGAGAGATCGCGCTCTCGAGTGGACAGGGGAGCCCCCCAAGAGCGCGATAACTCCGCATGCAGCTCGGGGAAAAAAGGTATTGGAGTTGGCCGTGGCCTTGCGGCGGCAGCTTTGTCCAAATACCAATTATCCATCCGTGAAAGATCGGGGCAGGACGGAGGTTTCCATTTTAGCCCGATACTCCCAGCGGCTCGAGACAGCATGGCCGTCAGCTCGGGATCCGATGCGGACAACGCTGGCACCCCCGAAGGAGGCAACGCAGCCGCATCCTCATCTCCCGAGGACTCTAGCCCGCCTAGTGATGCTGTGATAGACATTACATCATCATCTGGAGCGCTGCCCGAAGCAGCCGGCGCCGCCGAAGAGGCAGCCGACTGAATCGAGCTAACGCTCGCTGGCTCTCGCACTGAGGCGGGAGGTGTGGCCCGAGGAATCGTCGGGGCTTTATCCCACACCGTCACCTTAAAACCACCGGGTCCCCGGGTCGACGGGCCCCTTTCCGTGAAGGAAGCCAATCGAGTAGGGAGGACCGGGGCTCTCACTCTAGTGAGATCATTGAGCCTCGACCTCAGTGAAGAGATGGTCATGTTCCCACAGAAAGAACATGAGTCATCCACGAACGCTGCTGCTGCATGCTGAATGCCCAGGCATACAAAGCAGCGCTCGTGACCATCAGATGACGACAGAAATCTACCACACCCAGAAGAGCACGGGCGAACCATCTTTAAAAAGACGTGCCGCGTGCAGCTCTTTCAATGAGAGGAGGAAATTCACTCTTTCAGCGCTGAGGCTACCAGGGAGAAGTGCAAAGTCTGGCAGACCACTGCTCAGATCGCAGGCGATGCAGAATCTCGCTGGGTACCGCCGTCACACCAACACTGAAGAGGACGCTCGTCTCGAAGAGTCTTGAACAGTGAGAATGGCTTTCAGGAGTGAAGAGGTTCTCTTGGCTCCTCAGCGAAAACATACTGCGGTTGCGTTCACTTCCTCCTTTTATACTCACGGAGTAGGGTGGAGTACGCTATGCAAATTTCCGCAGCCCCAAGGCATTGCATGCCATTGGCTCGTTTTTAAATACTCGAAGAGGATTGGCTTTCTATGCGAAACCCCCAATCTCCGTCACTTCTGACGTAACTCGAAGTGACTACGAAAGGGAACTCCAGCTTTATTTGCTGGAAATGTGTTCTGGTTCAAGATTCCTGTTACAACATATTCAGGAGCATTTATTACTGTTTATAGCTTCAGATATTATTGCAGATATTGCAGTGATTACACCTCTTCAGATACCTTCTTTTGTCTCTCTCTCCATAGATTCATTATCACGAACTAAAATGAGAGAACATTTCTTCAGTATTAGTGTTTGCTGGAAATGTGTTGTGGTACAAGATAAACTGCACATGAGCATTTATTTGCAGCTTAGTGAATAGCTTCAGATATTATTGCTGATATTGCAATAAATACTCTTCTTCAGATACCTTTTGTCAGACTCTCCATAGTTTCATCTTCACAAACTAATAATGAGAGAAATATTCATTTGGAAGATTTATTTATGAATTGTTTCCACAAATACTCTAGAATTTGTAAACCACAATAAATGCAACTGTTAAGCTGATTCATATGTGGTTTTGATCATAAAAATGACATAGATTTAGTTTAATTACTTTTTTTAATGGTTTTCTTCCCTGAAATAAAAACATTAAATAAGGATAAAATACCTGCATCAAAAAAATATTAATTAATTTAATTATTTTAACCAGATGTATTTGCGCAGGGTCTCGGAGGACGTGTACTCACTCTCTGATGGCTGTGAATGGACATGTGGAGCAGCAGCCCCAGCACACGATGAAGAACTGCCCGCATCTGGAAACAACACCAGTCATACTTTCATGTGAGTGATTTCTTCTAGGTCTCAGTGTCTTATGTTTACAAAAGTAATTATGATACAAGCATGCATGAAAAAAAAAACCCAAGATGAATCATATATTTCATATATTTCAGAGCAAAATGAAAGTCTTAATATTCTAGTTAAAATGTATAAATAAATGATAGTTGTGGGATAAAAAATAATCTAGAAGAAACTGTTATTAGTTTTACTCTAAATGCAATCTAGTGAATATGGTGTATTAGTGTTAATGTACAGAAATAACATATTTTTAAGAATGTTTTTTCTCCTAGGTTAAAAAAAGTGTTTAATAGCAATACCACCCTTTTGTGTTCTATCACAAATATACAGAATCATACTACAGCAGTATTTTTATATGAGAAACATGCACACCTGCTGAAGGACTAGTCTGGTCAGGACTCAATCCTGTGGGTTTCTCTTCTTGGTTTGATGAGTCTTGTTCACCTACTGGTACAATCAGACATGGCATTGACACATACCATTTTAAACCCTTTTGAAACTATTCTATATAGCCAAAGCTGTAAACAAGAAGAGAAGTAAACACCTACAGTTAGGACTGGGGCTTGTGTTTCTCTAAAGAGTTGAGTTCACCTGTCACGAGTGTACCACTAATATCAAACTCTCCAGCATGAAGAAACAGATTCTCATAATCCACACACACATATCTGTCTGTAACTTCAATTACACTATTACAGCATAAAGCAATGTTTTTTAAAGGGACAGTTCACCCAGAATTTCTGTCATCATTTACTCACCCTCCAGTTGTTACTTTCTTCTGCTCAACACAAAAGATATTTTGAAATATATGGCTAACCAAAATGTTTCTGGTCCCTTGTGGCTATTATTATACATATTAACTTGAATTGCTGTCAGTTCCGCTTCTTATGCCCAGGGTCAAAGTTAATTCGTGAGGTCACCATTAAACTCCAGCTTATATAGCCTCATAAAACATCACACTGCTCCTACTGTTCATCCAGGAATTACTAAAGTTGTGTCAGTGTTTCAAGACTTTCAGATCAGGTTCGTATAAAATGATGATGTTCTTAATTATGGAAAGTGCTGTATCAGTGTTTGCTGAGGTTGTGAATTCTACAGTCATAAACTGATTTTCATCACATGTGATGATTTGGGGTTTCTATGTATGCACTGTGTGTAACCACCTCATTTTACCTTATCAAATCAAAATGTTTAAGAATGGACTGTATTTATACATTGTCATTCTGCAAAATTGAAACATTTCAACTATAAGCTCTGAAGCACAATGAGATATTTTCGATCAGGAGAGCCTATTCCTGTTCCTGCAGAGTTCAGCTGATCAAGTGTTCATGAAGCGTTATTTGATCAGGGGTAGAGATGAACTTTGCAGGAAGGCAGATCTTCAGGAACAGGATTGGGCAGCACTGTTATTTTATTTGTTTGTTTGCCGTTATTCATCTTTAATCAGTCAGAGAGTGGAGCAAAGCAGGAGAGAATAAGGGACAGGATGGAACAAACCACAAGCTGTACAAAAACTGTACAGTGAATGCATATATGACTGAGATGTCATAACCTACCTGTATCTTTCTTCTGTTCTTCCGTATTTGTGTCTTTCACAGCTAAATTGGAAAACAAATAATTGAAGGTTTTAGTAAAGGAAAACGTCTCGGTTACGTATGTAACCCTCGTTCCCTGAGTAGGGAATGGAGACGTTACGTCAGAAGTGACGGAGATTGGGGGTTTCGCATAGAAAGCCAAGCTAATTTTTTTTTTTTTTTTTTAGGGATTCTACTTTGACACAGGATTACCAAGGTACACTGGGAAACATATCCCGGGAGGGACATGTTACCAGATGCCTACCGAAGGGAGGACTTAAGAATACTCATATGGCCACGAAGGAACGCATATGGAGACACTGGAGCGCCAACCGCAGGTGGCTGCTAAGATTTCAGCTCCAGGGGTGGCAGATGGCTTGCCAAGGGAAGACACATGCTCAGAGAGGCTTACAGTGGATAATACACATGAGACGGTTACCATGGGGGAACCGTACGCATGGAGGCACCTAGACAGCATCCAGAGCAACAGCAGTGGTGCCCGCATCGTCGGTGCTGGAGGACTCAAGACTTCAATGGAAGAACTGAGGAAATATCGCTCTTATCCAGTCTGGGGAGTGGAGTGGCGAGCAAGCGAAGACACCTGAGCGGGTCCAGAACTGGCCGAAACGAGAACGTGAGAGGACACTGGCTCAATTCGCAGATTATAGAATCTGGCGAAGGTGTTGGGTGTCGCCCAGCCTGCAGCTCTGCAGATGTCTGTTAGCGAGGCGCCGTGCGCTAAAGCCCAAGAGGAGGCCACACTCCGAGAGGAATGGGCCGTCACACCAAGGGGGCACGGACGGCCTTGCTGCTGGTAAGACAAAGCAATGGCGTCCACTATCCAGTGGGACAGCCGTTGCTTTGAGAGAGCCCTTCCCTTCTGGCTCCCTCCATAACAGACAAAGAGCTGGTCTGAGGTCCTGAAACACTGCGTTCTGTCGACATAGGTGCGGAGAGCACGTACCGGACAGAGCAGTGCCAAGGCTGGGTCTGCCTCCTCCAGGGGCAGCGCTTGCAGGTTCACCACCTGGTCCCGGAAGGGAGTGGTGGGAACCTTGGGCACATATCCAGGCCGGGGTCTCAGGATCACGTGAGAGTAAGCCGGCCCGAACTCCAGGCACGCTTCGTCAACGGAGAATGCGTGCAGGTCCCCCACCCTCTTGATGGAGGCCAATGCAACCAGGAGTGCTGTCTTCATGGACAGAAACTTTAACTCTACTGATTGCAAAGGCTCAAAGGGATGCCTCTGCAGAGCACTTAAAACTACCGAGAGGTCCCAAGAGGGTACGAGGGGAGGACGAGGCGGATGCAGCCTCCTCGCTCCCCTCAGGAACCTGATGACCAGGTCGTGCTTCCCTAAGGACTTACCTTCCACTGCTTCATGAGAAGCGGCAATGGCCGCGACGTAAACCTTAAGGGTGGAGGGCGACAGCCTGCGCTCCAACCCTTCTTGCAGGAAGGAAAGCACGACCTCGATCGAACACCTCCGGGGGTCTTCTCTGCGAGAAGAACACCAATTGACGAAGAGGTTCCACTTCAACGCATAAAGGTGTCTCGTGGACGACGCTCTTGCGGAAGTGATGGTTGCCGCCACCGCAGGTGGCAGCGAACTCAAACCTGCCTCGTCCCGTCCAGGAGCCACACGTGCAGCCTCCAAAGATCGGGACGGGGGTGCCACAGAGTGCCCCGTCTCTGAGAGAGTAGGTCCTGTCTCAGAGGAATAGGCCAAGGAGGTGCTGTCGCGAGGAGCATGAGTTCGGAGAACCACGTCTTGGTGGGCCAGTAGGGGGCTACCAGCAAGACCTGCTCCTCGTCCTCCTTGATCTTGCACAACACCCGTGCAAGGAGGCTCACTGGGGGAAACGCATACTTGCGTGGGCCCCGTGGCCAGCTGTGCGCCAGCGCATCTGAGCCGAGCGTACCCCAGGTCAGGGAATAAAACTGGGCGCAGTGGGACGAGTCCCGAGAGGCGAACAGATCTATCTCTGCCTCCCCGAACTGGTCCCAAATCAGCTGGACCGACTGGGGATGGAGTCGCCATTCGCCGGAGATGGGACGGACCCGTGACAGCTCGTCGGCTGCCAGGTTCCGGTCTCCAGGAATGTATACTGCACGAAGGGACCTCAGGTGCTTCTGACTCCATATCAAGAGGTGGCGGGCGAGCTGCGACAACCGGCGCGAGCGTAGACCCCCCTGGTGGTTGATGTACGCTACTGCCGTAGTGTTGTCTGAACGGACAAGCACGTGCTGGCCCGACAGCAACGCTCTGAAGCGGTGCAGGGCGAGCCGTACTGCCAGCAGCTCGAGGCAATTGATGTGCATGAGGCGCTGGGCTCCTGTCCAGGAACCGGCGGCTGCATGCCCATTGCACATGGCACCCCAACCCGTGGTAGATGCATCCGTGGAGACAACGAGATGCCTGGAAACTCGCTGGATAGGGACGCCGGTCCGTAAGAAGCTGAGGTTCGACCACGGTAAGAAGGTTCGGCGGCACGCTGGAGTCACTGGAACTCGGAGCGAACCGCGATGCCATGCCCACCTCGGGACTCGATCGCGAAGCCACAGCTGAAGCGGTCTCATATGAAGCCATATGGATGCCATATGCCCCAGGAGCCTCTGAAATAGTTTCAGTGGAACCGCACTCTTGCCCTCGAACTGTCGAAGACAAGTCAGCAGTGAGTGCGCGCGCTCGCTCGTGAGCTGCGCGGACATGGCGACCGAGTCTATCTCCATGCCGAGAAAAGAGATCCTCTGCACGGGGCACAGTTTGCTCTTTTCCCGGTTGACCCGAAGGCCCAGACGGGCTAGGTGCCGGAGCACCAGGTCTCTGTGTTCGCAAACCTGAGCTCGAGAGTGTGCCAGTATCAGCCAGTCGTCGAGATAGTTCAGGATGCGAACCCCGTGCTCACGAAGGGGAACAAGGGCTGCCTCGACGATCTTCGTGAAGACGCGAGGGGACAGAGCTAACCCGAATGGGAGAACCGTGTACTGATATGCCTGGCCCTCGAAAGCAAACCGAAGAAACGGTCTGTGTCGAGGCAAAATGGAGACATGAAAGTACAGGTCCTTCAGGTCGATCGCTGCAAACCAATCCTGAAACCGAACGCATTCGAGAATGCGTTTGGCTGTGAGCATTTTGAACGGTAGTCGATGGAGAGAACGGTTCAAAATGCACAGGTCCAGGATCGGTCGTAACCCACCGGTCTTTTTGGGGACAATGAAGTAGGGGCTGTAAAACCCGGACCTCATCTCGGCTGGAGGGACCGTCTCGATTGCACCCTTCGCCAGCAGGGTCGCAATCTCCGCTCTCATGACCGGGGTATTGCCACCGACCATCGTGGAGCGAACTCCCCTGAAACGGGGAGGAGACCGTGCGAACTGAATCGCGTAGCCGAATCTGATCGTTCTGATGACCCAGCGGGACAGCCCGGGCAGCTCTAGCCAGGCTTCCAGGAAGTGAACCAGCGGGGTCATACGAACCACAGACGTCCCCCCGGAGGGGCAGCGAGGCGGGTCGACCGGCATGCGCGCAGGAGTTACCCCGCCCGGATGCACCGTCGAAGCCCGCTCCCCGACAGAAGGGACCAGGGAAGGCAGAGCGTTCCACGGGGGTCTGTTCTGCCGGGGGTCTGGAGATAGAGGGGGAAGAGATTGGCGTAGCCCAAGGACGACACACGCACCCTTCCGCGCCCTCAGAGACAGAGAGGAGTGTGTGGGCTGACACACTGGGACGTCGAGCGCACCCACTCCAGTCTGTGGGCTCAGTGATGATGTCAAGTCTTTCTTTAACAAACTCAGGGTGCTGCCCACCCGTGGGTGAGCAGCGGGGAGCTAAAAACAAAAGATTCTCCCCCGGCCCTCCACCGGGGGAAGGAGGGGGCCTGCTACCGCCTCCTGGGAAAGACTCGACTTCGTCACTGAGCAGCCCGTGTCAGGATCGTCGCTTGGCCTGGCGTTTAGCGGGGCCTGCGGCCTGAGGGGGCTGCGACGCCTGCCTGCGGCCTCCTCCACGCCGTGGCCCGGGTGAAGGCTGCTGCTGGGGCCGGGCGGGAGGGAGGGGAGCCGCAGGGGGGCGTCTGTGCCGGCGACTGGGTGGAGGCAGCAGCTGGTCGCCGGGGCAGAATGTGTTTAATTGCCTCCGTTTGCTTCTGGGCAGTGGAGAACTGCTGGGCGAAGTCCTCGACTGCACCGCCGAAAAGGCCAACCTGGGAGAGAGGGGCGTCGAGCAGACGAGTCCGCTCAGCGCTCCTAACGTCTGCCAGGTTGAGCCAGAGATGACGCTCCTGGACCACACTGGGGGCCATCACCTGACCAACGGCGCGAGCGGCCACTTTCGTTGCCCGGAGAGCAAGGTCAGTGGCGGACCGCAAATCTTTAAATGCCGTTGGATCAGTCCCGCCCTCGTGCATGTCTCTGAGCATCTTCGCTTGGAAGACCTGCAAAGTGCTCAGGGCATGCAAAGCGGAGGCCGCCTGTCCCGCCGCTCTATAGGAACGCGCCGCCATAGCAGACGAGAACCCACAGGCTTTGGATGGGTGCTTAGGAGGACCACGGGAGGAGGACACAGCTGCATCACGACAGAGCGCTCCACCGGGGGCATCCCAGTGTACCCACGGGCGGCCCCACCATCGAGGGGGGGAAAGGCGGGGGAGAGATCGCGCTCTCGAGTGGACAGGGGAGCCCCCCAAGAGCGCGATAACTCCGCATGCAGCTCGGGGAAAAAAGGTATTGGAGTTGGCCGTGGCCTTGCGGCGGCAGCTTTGTCCAAATACCAATTATCCATCCGTGAAAGATCGGGGCAGGACGGAGGTTTCCATTTTAGCCCGATACTCCCAGCGGCTCGAGACAGCATGGCCGTCAGCTCGGGATCCGATGCGGACAACGCTGGCACCCCCGAAGGAGGCAACGCAGCCGCATCCTCATCTCCCGAGGACTCTAGCCCGCCTAGTGATGCTGTGATAGACATTACATCATCATCTGGAGCGCTGCCCGAAGCAGCCGGCGCCGCCGAAGAGGCAGCCGACTGAATCGAGCTAACGCTCGCTGGCTCTCGCACTGAGGCGGGAGGTGTGGCCCGAGGAATCGTCGGGGCTTTATCCCACACCGTCACCTTAAAACCACCGGGTCCCCGGGTCGACGGGCCCCTTCCGTGAAGGAAGCCGATTGAGTAGGGGGGACCGGGGCTCTCACTCTAGTGAGATCATTGAGCCTCGACCTCAGTGAAGAGATGGTCATGTTCCCACAGAAAGAACATGAGTCATCCACGAACGCTGCTGCTGCATGCTGAATGCCCAGGCATACAAAGCAGCGCTCGTGACCATCAGATGACGACAGAAATCTACCACACCCAGAAGAGCACGGGCGAACCATCTTTAAAAAGACGTGCCGCGTGCAGCTCTTTCAATGAGAGGAGGAAATTCACTCTTTCAGCGCTGAGGCTACCAGGGAGAAGTGCAAAGTCTGGCAGACCACTGCTCAGATCGCAGGCGATGCAGAATCTCGCTGGGTACCGCCGTCACACCAACACTGAAGAGGACGCTCGTCTCGAAGAGTCTTGAAACAGTGAGAATGGCTTTCAGGAGTGAAGAGGTTCTCTTGGCTCCGAAGCGAAAACATACTGCGGTTGCGTTCACTTCCTCCTTTTATACTCACGGAGTAGGGTGGAGTACGCTATGCAAATTTCCGCAGCCCCAAGGCATTGCATGCCATTGGCTCGTTTTTAAATACTCGAAGAGGATTGGCTTTCTATGCGAAACCCCCAATCTCCGTCACTTCTGACGTAACTCGAAGTGACTACGAAAGGGAACTCCAGCTTTATTTGCTGGAAATGTGTTCTGGTTCAAGATTCCTGTTACAACATATTCAGGAGCATTTATTACTGTTTATAGCTTCAGATATTATTGCAGATATTGCAGTGATTACGCCTCTTCAGATACCTTCTTTTGTCTCTCTCTCCATAGATTCATCATCACGAACTAAAATGAGAGAACATTTCTTCAGTATTAGTGTTTGCTGGAAATGTGTTGTGGTACAAGATAAACTGCACATGAGCATTTATTTAGTGAATAGCTTCAGATATTATTGCTGATATTGCAATAATTACTCTTCTTCAGATACCTTTTGTCAGACTCTCCATAGTTTCATCGTCACAAACTAATAATGAGAGAAATATTCATTTGGAAGATTTATTTATTAATTGTTTCCACAAATACTCTAGAATTTGTAAACCACAATAAATGCAACTGTTAAGCTGATTCATATGTGTTTTTGATCATAAAAATGACATAGATTTAGTTTAATTACCTTTTTCAATGGTTTTCTTCCCTGAAATAAAAACATTAATTAAATAAGGATAAAATACCTGCATCAAAAAAATATTAATTAATTTAATTATTTTAACCAGATGTATTTGCGCAGGGTCTCGGAGGACGTGTACTCACTCTCTGATGGCTGTGAATGGACATGTGGAGCAGCAGCCCCAGCACACGATGAAGAACTGCCCTCATCTGGAAACAACACCAGTCATACTTTCATGTGAGTGATTTCTACTAGGTCTCAGTGTCTTATGTTTACAAAAGTAATTATGATACAAGCATGCATGAAAAAAAAAAACCCCAAGATGAATCATATATTTCATATATTTCAGAGCAAAATGAAAGTCTTAATATTCTAGTTAAAATGTATAAATAAATGATAGTTGTGGGATAAAAAATCATCTAGAAGAAACTGTTATTAGTTTTACTTTAAATGCAATCTAGTGAATATGGTATATTAGTGTTAATGTACAGAAATAACATATTTTTAAGAATGTTTTTTCTCCTAGGTTAAAAAAAAGTGTTTAATAGCAATACCACCCTTTTGTGTTCTATCACAAATATACAGAATCATACTACAGCAGTATTTTTATATGAGAAACATGCACACCTGCTGAAGGACTAGTCTGGTCAGGACTCAATCCTGTGGGTTTCTCTTCTTGGTTTGATGAGTCTTGTTCACCTACTGGTACAATCAGACATGGCATTGACACATACCATTTTAAACCCTTTTGAAACTATTCTATATAGCCAAAGCTGTAAACAAGAAGAGAAGTAAACACCTACAGTTAGGACTGGGGCTTGTGTTTCTCTAAAGAGTTGAGTTCACCTGTCACGAGTGTACCACTAATATCAAACTCTCCAGCATGAAGAAACAGATTCTCATAATCCACACACACATATCTGTCTGTAACTTCAATTACACTATTACAGCATAAAGCAATGTTTTTTAAAGGGACAGTTCACCCAGAATTTCTGTCATCATTTACTCACCCTCAAGTTGTTACTTTCTTCTGCTCAACACAAAAGATATTTTGAAATATATGGCTAACCAAAATGTTTCTGGTCCCTTGTGGCTATTATTATACATATTAACTTGAATTGCTGTCAGTTCCGCTTCTTATGCCCAGGGTCAAAGTTAATTCGTGAGGTCACCATTACACTCCAGCTTATATAGCCTCATAAAACATCACACTGCTCCTACTGTTCATCCAGGAATTACTAAAGTCGTGTCAGTCTTTCAAGACTTTCAGATCAGGTTCGTATAAAATGATGATGTTCTTAATGAAAGTGCTGTATCAGTGTTTGCTGAGGTTGTGAATTCTACAGTCATAAACTGATTTTCATCACATGTGATGATTTGGGGTTTCTATGTATGCACTGTGTGTAACCACCTCATTTTACCTTATCAAATCAAAATGTTTAAGAATGGACTGTATTTATACATTGTCATTCTGCAAAATTGAAACATTTCAACTATAAGCTCTGAAGCACAATGAGATATTTTCGATCAGGAGAGCCTATTCCTGTTCCTGCAGAGTTCAGCTGATCAAGTGTTCATGAAGCGTTATTTGATCAGGGGTAGAGATGAACTTTGCAGGAAGGCAGATCTTCAGGAACAGGACTGGGCAGCACTGTTATTTTATTTGTTTGTTTGCCGTTATTCTTCTTTAATCAGTCAGAGAGTGGAGCAAAGCAGGAGAGAATAAGGGACAGGATGGAACAAACCACAAGCTGTACAAAAACTGTACAGTGAATGAATCCATATATGACTGAGATGTCATAACCTACCTGTATCTTTCTTCTGTTCTTCCGTATTTGTGTCTTTCACTGCTAAATTGGAAAACAAATAATTGAAGGTTTTAGAGAAGGAAAACTCCAGTTTTATTTGCTGGAAATGTGTTCTGGTTCAAGATTCCTGTTACAACATATTCAGGAGCATTTATTACTGTTTATAGCTTCAGATATTGCAGTGAATACGCCTCTTCAGATACCTTCTTTTGTCCCTCTCTCCATAGATTCATCGTCACGAACTAAAATGAGAGAACATTTCTGCAGTATTAGTGTTTGCTGGAAATGTGTTCTGGTACAAGATAAACTGCACATGAGCATTTATTTGCAGCTTAGTGAATAGCTTCAGATATTATTGCTGATATTGAAATAATTACTCTTCTTCAGATACCTTTTGTCAGACTCTCCATAGTTTCATCGTCACAAACTAATAATGAGAGAAATATTCATTTGGAAGATTTATTTATTAATTGTTTCCACAAATACTCTAGAATTTGTAAACCACAATAAATGCAACTGTTAAGCTGATTCATATGTGTTTTTGATCATAAAAATGACATAGATTTAGTTTAATTACCTTTTTTAATGGTTTTCTTCCCTGAAATAAAAACATTAAATAAGGATAAAATACCTGCATCAAAAAAATATTAATTAATTTAATTATTTTAACCAGATGTATTTGCGCAGGGTCTCGGAGGACGTGTACTCACTCTCTGATGGCTGTGAATGGACATGTGGAGCAGCAGCCCCAGCACACGATGAAGAACTGCCCGCATCTGGAAACAACACCAGTCATACTTTCATGTGAGTGATTTCTACTAGGTCTCAGTGTCTTATGTTTACAAAAGTAATTATGATACAAGCATGCATGAAAAAAAAACCCCAAGATGAATCATATATTTCATATATTTCAGAGCAAAATGAAGGTTCTACTTAATATTCTAGTTAAAATGTCTAAATAAATGATAGCTGTGGGATAAAAAAAATAATCCAGAAGAAACTGTTTTACTCTCTAAATGCAATCTAATGAATATGGTATATTAGTGTTAATATACAGAAATAAAATATTTTTAAGAATGTTTTTCTCCAAGATTAAAAAAAAGTTTAATAGAAATACCACCCATTTGTGTTCAAGATTCCTGTTACAACATGTTCAGGAGCATTTATTACTGTTTATAGCTTCAGATATTGCAGTGATTACGCCTCTTCAGATACCTTCTTTTGTCCCTCTCTCCATAGATTCATCGTCACGAACTAAAATGAGAGAACATTTCTTCAGTATTAGTGTTTGCTGGAAATGTGTTCTGGTACAAGATAAACTGCACATGAGCATTTATTTGCAGCTTAGTGAATAGCTTCAGATATTATTGCTGATATTAAAATAAATACTCTTCTTCAGATACCTTTTGTCAGACTCTCCATAGTTTCATCGTCACAAACTAATAATGAGAGAAATATTCATTTGGAAGATTTATTTATTAATTGTTTCCACAAATACTCTAGAAATTGTAAACCACAATAAATGTAACTGTTAAGCTGATTCATATGTGTTTTTGATCATAAAAAGGAAAATATGTAGTTTAATTACCTTTTTTAACGGCTTTCTTCCCTGAAATAAAAACATTATGCCAACACATAAAATACTTGCATCAAAAATATTAATTAATATAATTATTTTAACCAGATTGTACCTGTTAGTTTATGTCTGTATTTGTACAGGATAAACCCAATCAAGCCCAGAACACAGATGAAGGCGATGATGAAAAGAGCCATCCATGGATCTGATGAATCTGGTGGATCTGAGGAAGACAATCCAGATCAATATAAACACCTTCAAAATCAACTTTGTCAACTTTTTAAACATAATAATTTCATTCATAATCCATTTTGATTGATTGATTTGATTTTTGATCGGACTGTTGAATAATTTGAAAGATTGACTATCCAAGAAATACGAGCAGTGGCCAGTTGCATTAACCGCTAAAACCCAACAAGTTAAGCTAACTCACTTCATTTGAGGAAACTGATTGACTCAATTCAATTAAGTTTATCAAAAACAATAGCTATGAGTACTCTGAAATTATTTTAATTGAGTTCACTAAAACAATTATATTTCTTAATACACAGTTAAACTTTACACTAAATTTAAATACTTTATATAGCTGAAACTTCACTTTATTGAGTAAAAACAGTGAAATGACGAACTTTAAATGAACTCAGAGCACTTGCGCTAACTCATTTCATTTGAGAAAACCGGTTGCCTCAATTTAATTAAGTTTATTAAAAACAACAGTTATGAGTACTCTGAACTTATTTGAGTTGAGTTCACTAAAAGTAGATATACATTGCAGTCTAGACATTAAGTGATTAATTAAGTGATTATTGAGCATTAGTGATGAACACCTGCTGTTAACAAGCAGAATCACTGAAGGAAAGAGAAACACAAGAACTAACTCTCTTCCAACCGAAGCCTTTGATGAAATCAACTGAAGATAAAAGATGTTGAAGATCTGAAGATCTCAGTAGAGGAGGATTGAACAACTCCACAAACAGCTTTACCAGCTGAACTTATTACTAACCAGTTTGACTTCTGTCATGTTTCTACAGACGTTGTTATTGAGAATGAACAGAGGTTTAGATGATGGTTGTGTCTAGATGATGAAAATCATAATTTAGTGACTTGATTCTCTGATCTTTTCCAGAACCGAATGTCTGATTCAAGTGAACAAGTGATGTATTGTATTATTCATTTTAATAGAGCTGTGATTTTGCTGTTAAGTCCATTGAAGTGACAATCGATTTTAGAACCCTATCAAGTCAACTCACAGTAATCAAGAATCAGCATATGAATCTCAACAATGGTGACCAATAAAAAAAATCATGCCGCAATGCATGCCAGGAGAAATGGATAAGTTATGTATTACGCTAGTACCCAGCATGCATTGCAACATTAGTAGTTTTTTTAATGGTCACCATTGTTGAGATTCACATGCTGATTCTTGACGTCTGTGTGAGTCTTAGTAATACATTACAATTTATCTGAAACTTTTTGTGACAAACACTTTGTAAAATCATTCATATTATCTGAAGAAAACAACATTCCTGGCACTTATACTGTTAAATCACAGTTTTGAACAAAAATATTAATATTTTGTCCTTTTAATCAGAGATTAGACTCTGAATGAGATCAGTGAATCAAGTCACAAAATGATTGATGTTTATCATCAATCCTCAAACATCTATACTATTTTTTCTCTTTTCTTCAGTGATTCTGCTTGTTAACAGCAGGTGTTCATCCCTAATGCTCAATTATCACTTAATTAATCACAATTATCATTCAATTATCATTCTGGGATTTAGAAATGTTCTATAACTCATTCAGTTTGAGTTCTGTTTCAGTCATTCAAGTTTTGGTAATATTTGAGTGCAGTGAACTCAATTGTATTTAGTAACATTTTACTAAACCTAACAGTTAAATGTACTAAATTAAATTGAGTTTACTGCACTCAAATAATACTGAAACTTGAAGTGGCTTGAATGACTGAAACAAAACTCAAACTGAACGAGTTAGAGAACATTTCTAGATCCCAGAATGATAATTCAATAATAATTGTATAGTAATTATTAATCACTTAACTAAACAATTACAATGCTAATTACAAATGTTATTCATTATTATGACTAACACAAATATCAAGAATAAGCATATTAATATCAACAATGGTGACCATTAAAATGGCTTATTATCCATGGCTCCCAGCATGCATTGCAGCATGAATTGTTTTTTTTTAGGGTCACCATTGTTGAGATTCAGACATCCGTTTTTTCCTCTCTAAGATGATTCATAACTTTTTAAGTCAGTTACATAAAAATGCAGACTGGCCTAATTTGATACTGAAAAGTAAGACTTTAACTAAAAAAGATGCAATATTAACATAATGCATATGCAACTCTCCCCTGCATGCTGATTTATTGTAAATAAATTAATAGATTATCAATTATATTTGGACTAAGTCAATTAACCCTCAGGTGCTCTTCAGTCATTTCTGACCGAAAAATTTTGTTTTGAATTTTTAAAAATCACAGCTTCATCGGAATGTTACGAAACTTGGTGACTTTTATGGCATTGGTTATGTGAACACACAAAAAAATTTATGTCATGATCCGAGCATGCTAAGTGGTCTTAAAAAAAATAGTCACACTTGTGGTCTTTAGTCAAAAATGACCCCCATAAGAAATGAATGGGAAATTGTAAAGAAATTGTAAACATTTTTTTATAAGAAATAGTTTTTGAGATTGTTTCAACTATATATTCAAATCCACCACCAACAACAACAAAAACTGTGTTCATAAACAGCTGGGGAATTCACATGCCTCTCCATAGAGAGCTGTACATGCCATCTAGTGGTTACACCATGATTCTACGCTTTTTCTCTATACTGTAACCAGATGGTGCTAATTTTCTTCAAAAAATATTTTTTTTTTCTGAAGGCCTAGACTCTATATTAAACTAAAATACTGCATTAATATTTTTTTGAAAAAAATAATATATATATATATATATATATATATATATATCCATGGCAAAAATAAACCATAAATATTGCATAAATATTAATCAATTCAAATAAATTGTCTCAAAATACTAAATTAAAAAGAATAAATATTATAGAACAAAAATAAATTGCAGTGGTTTTACTGGGATGGAGAAAGTTTCATTTTTAGGTGTCCGGTCACTTTTGACCGGGAAGATAACAAGTGTGACTCCGAAACGAAGAGCACCTGAGGGTTAAATATTTAACTTCAGTTGAGGTCACCAGGCAGTTATCACAAGCCTGGTGTTCAAGCACACTTGAGCACACTTCAAGCACACTGTGAGTCCTGTATTTGATGTTACATTCACACACAGTTTGGCTATTTTCTTCAGTGATTCTGCTTGTTAACAGCAGGTGTGTGAATGCTTTTTATTATGTACTGCCCAACAGGGTAGCTACCTCGTGAAATTCTCTGATGACACTGTTTTTGTAATGCTGGGGCAGAGGCGTTGTGATCCATTTGCAGAGTTTTATTTAAACATGCAATGAAGCAGTGATAGACCGACATAAACTGTGCTAGAAACAGGGCAATCCAAAATCATAAACTTCATACAGGCAAGGGTCAGGGCAGGCAGCAAGGTTCACAGAAACGAGGATCCAGGCAGAGATCAGAGTACCAGAAAATCACAATAAACAGGAATAAACGCTCGATAATGATAGCTGATAGAATCAAGACTTCGCAAAGTCACAATGACAAACACAGTCCTTATAAAGGGGCAATAATGAGGAACAGGTGATGCAGATGGGGCTAATCAGATGAACTAGGCAGGTGTAAATCCAAGGGAGAGATGGGAAATGCAGTTCCTTAATAATCTGGAGAGAGGGAACGGATGAAACCAGAGGGAGGCGCAGCCGAGCTCTCTGTCACAGAGCCCCCCCCCCCCCTGCGAGCGGCTCCGGAAGCGAGGGCCTGACCGGCGACGGGGTCTACCACGGGGTCTTGGTGCTGGACGATCTGGATGGTCCCGGTGGTAGGTGGAGAGCAACGAGGGGTCTAGAACATCCTGGGACCTAACCCAGGAACGTTCCTCGGGACCATATCCCTCCCAGTCAATGAGATACTGAAGAACCCCGCCGCGGCGTCTGGAGTCCAGGACCGCTCACACCCGGTATGCCTCCTCGCCGCCGACCTCAATGGGAGGAGCCTGGACTGGAGCAATCTCCTCTTGGACCACCTCTCTCCTGGGGGTAGTAGCGGGCCTGAAAAGAGACACATGAAATGTAGGTGAAATGCGGTAATGAGCTGGTAGTGCCAAACGAAAAGAAACTGGAGTGATCTGGCAGAGGATTTTGAACGGGCCGATGAACCGAGGGGAAAGCTTTTTGCAGGGGAGTTTAAGACGGAGATCCTTGGTGGAGAGCCACACCCACTGGCCAGGTCTATACGGAGGTCCTCTGCGCCTTCTACGATCTGCGTTTTGCTGATAGTGGCGAATAGCGCGCTGCAAATGAATGTGGGCGGTGTTCCAGGTAGCCTCACTGCGCCTTAGCCAAGCATCCACTGCAGGGAGGTCCGATGGCTCTCCAGCCCATGGGAAAGCGGGGGTTGAAAGCCTAAAACACACTGGAAAGGGGTTAATCCTGTGGCTGGCTTCAGCAAAGAGTTCTGCGCATACTCCGCCCAGACCAAAAAACGACTCCAGTCGTGCTGATTCTGGTGACAATAGGTGCGCAGAAAACGGATTAGTTCTTGGTTGAGTCGTTCGACCTGACCGTTGGCCTGCGGATGGTAACCCGAAGTGAGGCTCACATTAATATTGAGTTTGGCACAGAGCTCCCTCCAGACTTTAGAGGTGAACTGGGGGCCCCGGTCAGAAACAATGTTGTCAGGAAGTCCGAAGAGACGGAACACGTGATTTAAAAGAGCCTCAGCGGTCTGAAGGGCGGTAGGCAACCCAGCCAATGGAATGAAGCGGCATGACTTGGAAAAGCGGTCTACTACTGAGAGGATGGTAGTGAATCCCTGAGACTGTGGCAAATCAGTGACAAAGTCCACGGCAATGTGAGACCAGGGACGGTGAGGAATGGGCAGAGGTTGTAAGAGACCGGCAGGTTTGAGATGTGAGGACTTGATGGTATTGCAAACCTCACATTGATGGATAGGCTCTGGTTTGCAGGGTTCATCGGGACTGTCGAATAAGCGTGAGAGAGCATCGGCCTTCCCGTTCTTAGACCCCGGTCTGAAAGTGATCTTGAAATTAAATCTGGAGAAGAACAGAGACCATCGGGCTTGCCGCGCATTTAAACGCTTGGCAGACTTGATGCACTCAAGATTTCTGTGATCTGTAAGCACCGTAAAGGGCTGACGTGCACCTTCCAACCAGTGCCTCCATTCACCAAAGGCTGCCTTCATGGCCAGGAGCTCCCGATCACCCACATCATAATTACGCTCTGCCGAGTTGAGCTTCCGAGAAAAGAACGCACAGGGGAACATTTTGGCCGGGTTGCCATGGCACTGAGAGAGGATCGCGCCCACTCCGGTGTTGGAAGCATCCACCTCCACAATAAATTCCCTCTCTGGATCAGGGTGATGAAGAATGGGAGCTGAGACGAACCTCTCCTTCAACTGTTCAAAAGCAGAAGTGCAATCGGGGGACCACCTGAACCTCCTTCCTCCTCCCTGAAGAAGGGATGTGAGAGGTGCCACGATGATGCTGAAGTTTCTTATAAATCTGCGATAAAAATTGGCAAACCCCAAAAAGCGTTGCAATTCCTTCACGGAAGAGGGTTACGGCCAGTTAACCACAGCTTGGACCTTGCTATCATCCATAAGAACCCCCTCAGCACTGATAATGTAGCCCAGGAAAGAGATTTGGGTCTGGTGAAACTCACACTTCTGGATATTTGCATACAACTGATTTTCGATTAAACGTTTTAGAACAGCTCGCACATCCCTCACATGCGCTTCGTAGGTCTCTGAATAGATCAAGATGTCATCTATATAGACTATGACGTTTCTGTTGAGCATGTCTCGGAAGATCTCATTGACAAAAGCCTGGAACACGGAGGGACTATTGGACAGTCCGAATGGCATAACGTGATATTCATAGTGGCCCGAAGTAGTAGAAAACGCAGTCTTCCACTCATCGCCCTCGCTTATGTGAATCAGGTTGTAAGCATTCCGTAAATCCAGCTTAGTGAAGAACCGAGCTGTGCGAAGCATCTCCAAGGCAGCAGGAACTAACGGTAGAGGATAGCGGTATTTAACCGTCACTTTATTTAGACCCCGAAAATCGATGCAAGGACGGAGGCTGCCGTCCTTCTTCTTCACGAAAAAAAATCCAGCTGAGGCAGGAGAAGTAGAGGTGGTTATGAAACCCTTGGACAGTTGTTCCTCGATGTAAGCCTTCATGGCCTCGGTTTCGGGCTGAGATAACGGATACACCCTCCCACGAGGAGGTACCGCCCCAGGCAGGAGTTCAATGGCACAGTCACCTGCTCGATGTGGAGGTAGTTGATCAGTCTCTCTCTCACTGAATGCCAGACTCAAATCATGATAAACTGCTGGTAAAACATGAAGAATGGGTTCCTTTGACTCAACGCAGATCCCTGGGCTTTGGACAGCGGGTATGCAGTTCTTATGACAAAATGGAGACCACTGTGAAATCCTCCTCTCTGACCAAGAAATCTGGGGGTTGTGATTCTCCAACCAAGGAAATCCCAATATAACTGGATAAAGCGGGGAATTGATGGTAAGGAGCTGTATGGTTTCAGAGTGCAGAGAACCGATGTTGAGAGTTACGGGTTGTGTGATGAACTGCACCTTCCCTGTCCCCAGGGGGCGCCCGTCCAGCGCTGCCACCTCCACATGAGAATCACAAGGGACGAGAGAGAGACGGTGAGTTTCGGCAAAAGTAATATCAACAAAACTTCCTGCCGCTCCAGACTCAATTAATGCTTTAGTTTTAACAGTCTTGCCATTACATAGTAAAGAAACTTCCAGAACCAATGAGTTAAGAGGAGAAGTCAACGGACTCACCGCACTAGGAACTGTTGAAGTGGATCTCCCCTGGGGTCTCACAGGACAGGACGCTCTCAGATGACCGGGTTGAGCGCAATACATACAGAGATTATTCCACCTTCTTCTCTCCCGTTCGGCCGAAGAGATATGCGTGACGCCGATCTGCATAGGCTCGGGTTCAGAGCTGACCGATGGCTTGAAGAAGAAGTTCGTATGATATGATGAGCGACGAGCCCTGATGAGGTGATCAAGACGAATGGCGAGATCCATGATTTGATTTAAAGTCTTTCCATCGTCGCGGCAGGCTAGCTCTCCCTGTAGCTCCGAGATGAGACCCTTTCGGTATAAGAGCTTGAGTGGTTCATCGGTCCAGCCCGTCTGTGCAGCGAGTGTCTGAAAAGCGAGAGTTTAGTCAGCCGCTGTGGAGTTTCCTTGGCGTAACGAAAGAAGAAGCTCCCCCGGATCCTTGCCATCCGCCGGATGCTCAAACACCTCTCTGAATTGAGTAACAAACATATCATAAGAGAGTGTAGAGAACTGACCTCCTGACCACATCGCGGTTGCCCACTCCAGCGCTTTTCCGGTTAGAAGCGAACATACAAAGGAGATGCGGCTGTCGTCGGTGGGGTGCTCCCGTGACTGGTTGAAATAAATCTCACACTGCATCAGAAAACCTCTACAAGCGATGGGTGACCCATTGAATTTTTCGGGCAGTGACATTTTGGGATTGCCGGAGAAGGTACTTCCGACCGGTTGAGGAGGCGCAGGTGCAGCGGGCGTGGGAACCCGATTTGCAGCGGTGTCGGCGGGGGTGAGTGCTTGAACAGATCTCACCAGTTCCTCAGTGAGATTAGTAAGTTTTTGCAGCTGCTGACGATGAGACATCAACTCGGATGCTTGTGATGAAACCTCGTGGGCCAGGCGGAGAAAATCTGCAGGATCTTGTTTTGGCGAAGTCTTCTGTAATGCTGGGGCAGAGGCGTTGAGATCCATTTGCAGAGTTTTATTTAAACATGCAATGAAGCAGTGATAGACCGACATAAACTGTGCTAGAAACAGGGCAATCCAAAATCATAAACTTCATACAGGCAAGGGTCAGGGCAGGCAGCAAGGTTCACAGAAACGAGGATCCAGGCAGAGATCAGAGTACCAGAAAATCACAATAAACAGGAATAAACGCTCGGTAATGATAGCTGATAGAATCAAGACTTCGCAAAGTCACAATGACAAACACAGTCCTTATAAAGGGGCAATAATGAGGAACAGGTGATGCAGATGGGGCTAATCAGATGAACTAGGCAGGTGTAAATCCAAGGGAGAGATGGGAAATGCAGTTCCTTAATAATCTGGAGAGAGGGAACGGATGAAACCAGAGGGAGGCGCAGCCGATCTCTCCGTCACAGTTTTACTGGCACTTCTTCAGGGGGATCAATCGGGCCATCGGAGTGCCCTATCACAATTTGTGAAGTGGTGTGATGATAACTACCTGGACCTTAATGTGACAAAGACTAAGGAGTTAATTATTGATTTTAGGAAGAACCGTTTTAACCCAGAAGCCAGCATCATGGAGAAAATGTTGAAATTGTAGAGACGTATAAGTATTTAGGAACCATGTTTGACTCCAACTTAAAGTTTGACAAAAACACAGAGTCAATCACTAAGTGGGGACAACAAATAATCCACTTATTGCGGAAGTTAAATTCTTTTAATGTGTCTCAGAGGATCTTATGTAACTTTTATTATTCATTTATTGAAAATCTTTTAACATTTTCTTTTATATGTTGGTTTCATGGATTGTCTGCGAGAGACAAGAATAGCCTCAGCAGCATTGTTAAAATCTGCTCCAAGATTATTGGAGTTCAGCTGACAGACCTGAGCTCCCTCTGGAAAAAACGGGTGCTTCAGAAGGCTAAACAAGTCTTGAGTCATCCTGACCACGTCCTTAGTCAGGAATTCTGTCTAATGCCCTCAGGTCGGCGCTACCTCGCTCCCCCAAGGAAAACTAGCAGATATGCTAATTCTTTTATTCCTTCTGTCATCGGGCTTTTAAATACTGCTGACAGTGGCAACTAGTCATGTGCCAGGAATCATACCTGGTATGTATTTATTTAATTATTATTATTATTATTATCTATTTATGTATTTATCTTCTTGAACTTGGGTCCCTGCTCAGTCCATGTATTAAGATCGGTGTATTTACTGTTTTGTTCTGGTGCCCAAATGCAATATCACTGACAGTGTTTCTGAATGTTTGATTGATTGTTGTCTTCTTGTCTTGTTTAAAACGACTGGAAGGCTAAAACTGAATTGCCCTATGGGGATAAATAAAGTTGTTTGAATCTTGAATCTTGAATCTTGAATCTATTTACAGGAGTGAGAACCGCATTCTACATCGCTGGAGGTTCTACATCGCTATCTTTGATATTACGGTCACAGTCGCTGTGGTTACTGATAAGAGAATACGGGCGTGACTCTCTTTGCATGTTTATACAGAAATTGTTCCAGACGATAAGGTAAGTCGCTGTTTGAATGGGACATTATAAGACTCACACCTGTAAATCAATGCGGTTGTCAATCCCGAAAACCGACAGTGTGAACTCAGCCTTTGTTCAGATAGCTACAAATATGTTTGTTCTAAGATGTTCTCTGACCTGAAGAGATGATGGCTTTTATGCTCAATCTTCCTTCTCTGAGCTCTCCAGTCTTGAGAGATATTGAGCATGAGACCAGTTGAGCGTCCGAGTGAGAGACGGCCGTCCAGCTGTGGACAGAGAACATCTCATCGGCTCCACGACTGCGAGACACTCCTCCAGGACGGAGAACCGTTCGCTCATCTGACGTCCAGGAGACGTCCGGCTCTGGATACCAGCCGCTGGACTTACAGCTGATGTTCACTCGTCCATCATCCAGAGGCTGCGGAAACAGGACAGGAGCGGATCCTAAAGCTGCAAGAGGACAGACAGAGGTTCTACAATCACCGTGTAAGTATATTGTACATTTATCTTTGGATAAATGCATTTCTAGTGGATTAAAGGGTTCACTTTAAAAAAACATTTGCTGATAATTTACTCACCCCCATGTGATCCAAGATATCCAAGTTTTTATTTCTTCAGTTGAAAAGACATTTTGATCATTTTAATGAACGTGTTCGAACTGGAGAGTCACGATTCACGAACGCGCATCACAGAACAGAGCGAGGCGAGCATTTGAGCTTATAAAACTTAATTTTTTTTTTATTTATTTATTAAATGAGCGATCGTTTCACTAGATAAGACCCTTAAGGCCATTGCACACTGAGTCCGAAATTCGCATCCGAAATTTTCGCACGTTAAAAAAAAAATTCGACCTCACGTTATGTCAGTCACGCTTGCACACCGCCTCCGAAACTTTCGTCCGTCCTAAAATTAATCGGATCGGGTTCGATTTTCTGCGTTTTTCGCATCCAGAGCCAGCATTTTGAGAGGTCTTTTGACAATTCAGGGCCGGGGGAGCTCATCCTCAAATCATTGCACATATGCGCCATGCTTTCAGTTTCGGTTTTCAATTCGATCAAGTGTTTAGTTCTCTTCTCTATATTGGATTATGAAATTAATAAACCTCCCCTTTCAATCAGATTGAAATTTAGGATCGAATAAAGTGTGATTGAGCAGCCTATTTGATAACTACTGTATTATTTGGGCACAATATATACACAACAGCCTAGCTGTTCTGTCTGCCCAGCGCTTCCACCGGGGCGCGGGTGTGTGTGTGTGTGTGTGTGTGTGTGTCCATGTGTCCATACCTGGTCCATACCAGACAGTCTCCGTTCAGAATCGATTGGTTCACGGAAATTGGTGGTCTTGTTTTTAATATGTGGCTCCAGAATCGCTAGCAAAGCATCAAACTGTCCCACTGACATTCTGAGGTAAATTTTGAATCGCTCAGGATAAATTCGCAACTCCTTGATAAGGAACTCTCCTTCCTCTCGGCGCAATTTCAGGATTGGATGGACGTAATATTTTCTCTTTCTTCTCTTTTCAATAAGAGAGAGGGCAAAAATCATCCTCACTGCTTGACGAATCCATTTGGTATTTTTGCGTTTTTTCCCGCAAACGTTTAATAAATACGCAACGGACTCGGTGTGCAAGGTTTCTATGCGTGACGAAATTTTAGGCTGACGAACACGAAAATACGCATACGAAAATTTCGTACTCAGTGTGCAATGGCCTTTATTCATCGTCTGGTGTCGTTTAAAAACCTTTGAAGCTGCACTGAAACTGTCTTTTGGACCTTGAACCGTTTGGTTCCCATTGAAGTCCATTATATGGAGAAAATCCTGGAATGTTTTCATCAAAAACCTTAATTTCTTTTCGACTAAAGAAAGAAAGACGTGGACATCTTGGATGACATGGGGGGGTGAGTAAATTATCAGTTAAAGGTTTTTTTAAAAAGTGAACTACTCCTTTAATGGAGGCTGCTTCACAGCTAACAAATATTCCAAACATTCTGTGTTGATCGTGATAACTTTAAAATGCCCAGTTCTCTTAATGTTAGTGTAACTTTTTTTACAGTTAGTATGATGTTCCTGAAACATTCTTTCAACTTCATCTTTATTAACAACTCAACATTCTTCACAGCCGAATCCTCTGTGTTGAAGGGGAAATGAAGCAGTGAATCAAGTTTACATGATTTACAAGATGAATATCCAATATAATCAACAATTATATAAGAAACATGACAAATGTAAACATTTAGAAGAAAAAAAGAAAAAACTTTGTATCTTTCGCCACCAGGGCGCCGCCGCCGGAGCAGGACGTGGGCGTGGCGGAGCAGGCTGAGGGCGTGGCCAGGGCGGAGCAGGACGTGGACATGGTGGAGTAGGCTGAGGGTGTGGCCAGGGCGGAGCAGGACGTGGGTGTGGCGGAGCAGGCTGAGGGCGTGACCAGGGCGGAGCAGGACGTGGATGTGGCGGAGCAGGCTGAGGGCGTGGCCAAGGCGGAGCAGAACGTGGACATGGTGGAGCAGACTGAGGGCGTGGCCAAGGCGGAGCAGAACGTGGACATGGTGGAGCAGGCTGAGGGCGTGGCCAGGGCAGAGCAGGCTGAGGGCGTGACCAGGGCGGTGCAGGACGTGGATGTGGCCGAGCAGGCTGATGGCGTGGCCAGGGCGGAGCAGGACGTGGACATGGTGGAGCAGGCTGAGGGCGTGGCCAGGGTGGAGCAGGACGTGGACATGGTGGAGCAGGCTGATGGCGTGGCCAGGGCAGAGCAGGACGTGGACATGGTGGAGCAGGCTGAGGGCGTGGCCAGGGCGGAGCAGGTTGATGGCGTGGCCAGGGCAGAGCAGGGCGTGGCCAGGATGGTGAAGACCCTTCAGGCGGCCACGGAGGTGAAGACCCTTTAGGCTTCCACGGCGGTGAAGACCCTTCAGGCGGCCGTGGCTGGGCCATAGGGCCCCCCCCAAAAAAATATTTTGGGTAAATCCCTGGATTAGGGGCAGCCTGGTCACCAACAGTCTCTGTCTCGGCGGGACGAGACTCTCGAGGGGCTGTCTCGGCGGGACGGGACTCCGGCTTGGCTGTCCCGGCGGGACGAGACTCCGGCTCAGGAACAGCAGACACTGGTTCAGGCGCTGGCGGGCAGGCAACGGGCTCAGGCGCTGGCGACCCGGTCTCGGGCTGGATGTTCTCGGGCTGGACGCTCTCGGACTGGACGCTCTCAGACTGGACGAGGCTGACACTCTGGGACTATGGCCTTCCTGGCAGCACGTGCTGATGTCAGCGGGGTTTCGGCTACATAGGAAACCGGTGCAGGACATCTATATACCGACCCGGTGGCTGATTTGATGGTAGGCGTGGTGGAGATAGCTGGAGACGGTGGTTGAGTGGCGATGTCATCAGCCTCATCTATGGTAAAGGCTGAGCCACTCAACCACAGCACATATTCCAGGTACTGGGCAAATGAGCCTGGGCTTGCTGCAGCTGGCACTTGCTGGTATAGGATATCATCCAAGCCACACCAAAAAACAGTCTTTAGGACATCATCTGCCCAGCTTACCCCCTCAGAGAGTTCCAGGAATTCGGTCACATATTCCTCAATGTGACGACCATCCTGGAAACAGGTCAAGTCCGTTTAGGTCCGTTCTTCTGTTAGGGTTGTGTGGTAATCAGGAAGCACGAGGAGACGAGGAATAACAGAAAACAGGATCTTTAATAAACCAAAACTCAGGAACCACAAAGTCATACTTTACATAAACGAGAACGGACCAGGAGTGAGCAGAACACAGGGTTTAAATACACTAGAACAGACTAGGGGAACAAGGCACAGGTGGGGCAAATTAACTTAACACAGGTGATGGGACTGAATACAAATGAGGAGCGGGAAAATAGAAACAGGACTGAACCAAATACACAAAGAATGGGGTCCACAGGACACACATGTAACATAAATAAAGTTGTGCTAACTTTACATTAACATTATTAGAATTGATAACGTTCAACAAATATTCTATTAATGTTACTAGAAGTAACATTACTTCTGTTTGTTCATTGCTTTAAGAGAGAACATTGCCAGAACATTAGCAAAGGTTATGAGAATATTCCCTGATTGCTGACTGGACGGTTTCTTTGGAAAATTATGTCAGGATTATGCTGCAAAAACTGGGTTTAATATTCTCTAGTATTAGTAGTAGAAATCTGGAGAGAAAAGACTGCTCATGCAACAAAAGGTAGGTGATACCTTTTGTGTGTCCGAGACTGCTGAAGACCTGTGCTGCTGAGCTGGGGGAGCCGCTCGAGCGGATCTTCAACCTTAGCCTACAGCTAGGGAGAGTGCCTACCCTCTGGAAGACATCCTGCATCGTTCCAGTTCCCAAGAAGAACAGGCCAAGCGAGCTGAATGACTTTCGACCGGTGGCACTCACTTCACACCTGATGAAGACGTTGGAGCGGCTCCTCCTCAGCCTCCTCAGACCCCAGGTGCAGCACGCCGAGGATCGCCTGCAGTTTGCGTACCAGCCAAAGGTTGGTGTGGAGGATGCCATCCTTTACATGTTACATCGGATCCACTCCCATCTGGATAAGGGGAACGGCACAGTGAGGATACTTTTTTTGGACTTCTCCAGTGCCTTCAATACCATCCAGCCCCCCATACTTCGGGACAAACTGATCAGGATGGGAGTGGACCACTTTCTGGTAGACTGGATCAGAGATTACCTCACAGACAGGCCACAGTATGTCAGGCTGAAGGACATCATGTCTGATACCGTGGTCAGTAGCACTGGAGCCCCTCAGGGCACAGTGCTGGCCCCTCTTCTCTTCACCCTGTACACCTCGGACTTTTGTTACAACTCGGAGCTGTGTCATATACAGAGGTATGCAGATGACACAGCCATCGTTGGGTGCATTAAGGCGGGCATACACTGTGCGATGTCTGTGCGATTTCAGCAAGGTACCTACTCACACTGAACGAGTAAATCGCATGCGATGCAAAGCCAAAGTTGAGGATTTATGTGCTCACACTGTACGGTCCGATCGTCGAGCTGCGACTTCACTGCTCACACTATACGTGTAATATCTGCGATAACCCCCTGGATTGCGCCTATTTACGTGTATGTATCCAGAGATATTGTCAAAACAAGCATCTGCTATCAGTATCAAGATGATTTAGTATTTTCAATTTATGCATTTAATTATTATTATTATTATATTATCATTATTTGGGGAGGCCTATAGGCTAATTTTACTATTAAATTGATCCGCTATTATAATTAATTTGCCACGCAATATTTTCACAGCACATAACCAACGTGCTGTGACTGTGAGGATAATAAAATATTAATCTTACCCCTCATTAAAAATTGTCTAAAACATTTAGGTCGATTACAATGAATTATATATAAAATAACTATTAACAGTCTATAATATGTCCGAACATTGCCATTATTAATCATCAATGAAAATTAAAAACAGGTTTATTTCAAAAACATTGTTTGACAAAATAATAAAAGAGGTGTTACATATCAGGTGGCTTGTGTCACAGTCCTCCGTCTGCACCAGTCTGTCTTGTCTTCAGCACTACACTTCCCAGGATCCTCTCGTCACCCTATCCCGTGTTCACTCCCTCATCAGCCACCTGTTCCTCGTCTTGATCATCTGTTTCACCTGTTTTCACCCCATTATGTTTGATTATTCTGTGTATTTAGTTCCCTCTGTTTTACTCAATGATTGTCGGTCGATGTCTAATGTGAGCCTGTGTTGCACCTGAATTCCTGTCTTCCTGCCTGTTTTGAACATTAAATATTATCTTCACCGTTACTCCGGACTCCTCGTTCCTCTGCCTGCACCACAGGCGTGACAGATCGACCGACCGCAAAGCAACATGGACGCCGTGATTTTCCAGGGGATTCTCCACCCGATTCGGCGCCCCCGTTTGATGCTCATCCCCTGAAAGCCGGCGCTCACCGTCAGCCCTGCCGAGCCCGCGCTCACCGTCAGCCCTGCCGAGCCCGCGCTCACCGTCAGCCCTTCTGAGCCTGAATGCTCTTCACTGCTGGTTCCGTCCAGCCCTCCAGAGACGGTATGCTCTTCACTGCTGGGTCCGTCCAGCCCTCCAGAGACTGAATGCTCTTTACTGCTGGTTCCGTCCAGCCCTCCAGAGACTGAACGCTCTTCACTGCTGGTTCCGTCCAGCCCTCCAGAGACTGAACGCTCTTCACTGCTGGTTCCGTCCAGCCCTCCAGAGACTGAACGCTCTTCACTGCTGGTTCCGTCCAGCCCTCCAGAGACTGAACGCTCTTCACTGCTGGTTCCGTCCAGCCCTCCAGAGACTGAATGCTCTTCACTGCTGGTTCCGTCCAGCCCTCCATAGACTGTATGCTCTTCACTGCTGGTTCCATCCAGCCCTCCAGAGACTGAATGCTCTTCACTGCTGGTTCCGTCCAGCCCTCCAGAGACTGAACGCTCTTCACTGCTGGTTCCGTCCAGCCCTCCATAGACTGTATGCTCTTCACTGCTGGTTCCATCCAGCCCTCCAGAGACTGAATGCTCTTCACTGCTGGTTCCGTCCAGCCCTCCAGAGACTGAACGCTCTTCACTGCTGGGTCCGTCCAGCCCTCCAGAGACTGAACGCTCTTCACTGCTGGTTCCGTCCAGCCCTCCAGAGACTGAATGCTCTTTACTGCTGGTTCCGTCCAGCCCTCCAGAGACTGAACGCTCTTCACTGCTGGTTCCGTCCAGCCCTCCATAGACTGTATGCTCTTCACTGCTGGTTCCATCCAGCCCTCCAGAGACTGAATGCTCTTCACTGCTGGTTCCGTCCAGCCCTCCATAGACTGTATGCTCTTCACTGCTGGTTCCGTCCAGCCCTCCATAGACTGTATGCTCTTCACTGCTGGTTCCATCCAGCCCTCCAGAGACTGAACGCTCTTCACTGCTGGTTCCGTCCAGCCCTCCATAGACTGTATGCTCTTCACTGCTGGTTCCATCCAGCCCTCCAGAGACTGAATGCTCTTCACTGCTGGTTCCGTCCAGCCCTCCAGAGACTGTATGCTCTTCACTGCTGGTTCCGTCCAGCCCTCCAGAGACTGTATACTCTTCACTGCTGGTCCCGCCCAGCCTCTCCGAGCCCGAGCTCCCCTCTTCGCTGGTTCCAACCAGCCCCGTCCAGCCAACGCCAGAGACCGTCCAGCCAGCGCCAGAGACCGTCCAGCCAGCGCCAGAGACCGTCCAGCCAGCGCCAGAGACCGTCCAGCCAGCGCCAGAGACCGTCCAGCCTGAGCCCGAGACCGTCCAGCCTGAGCCCGAGACCGTCCAGCCTGAGCCCGAGATCGTCCAGCCAGAGCCTGAGACCAGGATCCCACCCAGCCTCCCTCTCCCACCTCGCTCCCTCGTCATCCTCCCGTCACCTCTGGACTTCCTTCCCTTTGCTCCGCACCGTCATGTCACCCCCCCGGTTCTGTCGGACTCCTCACTCCCTCCAGTCACCCGTCAGCCCTCACTCCCTCTGTCACCTGAGCCTACGGGGTCACCATGGTCCCTCGGTCCCTCCTCAGCACCCGATGTCGTCTGTCCCTCTGCCTCACCCTGGTCTCCTCTCCCATCTGCTCCGCCCCTGTCAGTCGGCCCCCTGGTGTTGTCAGCCCCGCTTCCATCGGCTCCACCAGGGGTCCTCCCTCCATCTGCTCCGCCCTGGTCTCGCCCTACATCTGCTCCGCCTTGGTCTCGCCCTCAGCCTGCTCCGCCCTGGTCTCGCCCTCAGCCTGCTCCGCCCTGGTCTCGCCCTCCGCCTGCCCCGCCCTGGCCACGCCCTCAGCCTGCTCCGCCCTGGCCACGCCCTCAGCCTGCTCCGCCCTGGCCACGCCCCGCCCAGGCCCCAGTTCGTCCCCCCCTCCTTCCTCTGTTCTGCGGCGTGAGGTCACGCCTCCCGGGAGGGGGGAGTTCTGTCACAGTCCTCCGTCTGCACCAGTCTGTCTTGTCTTCAGCACTACACTTCCCAGGATCCTCTCGTCACCCTATCCCGTGTTCACTCCCTCATCAGCCACCTGTTCCTCGTCTTGATCATCTGTTTCACCTGTTTTCACCCCATTATGTTTGATTATTCTGTGTATTTAGTTCCCTCTGTTACACTCAATGATTGTCGGTCGATGTCTAATATGAGCCTGTGTTGCACCTGAATTCCTGTCTTCCTGCCTGTTTTGAACATTAAATATTATCTTCACCGTTACTCCGGACTCCTCGTTCCTCTGCCTGCACCACAGGCGTGACAGCTTGAAGACGCTGGGTAATATTATCCATTTTGCAACACGAACTGGAGGTAAGCAACAGTAATTTGTAGCTCGTTTTTATTTTAATTTTATTTTTGCTGCAGATGAAATGGTTAAACTTCTGTTTTCGCGCAGGTGCAGTGAGGGAAAAAACACTGAGTTTAGGGCAATCGGTTCGTAGCTTTGCTTCAACTGTGCGATATAGTCACGAGGAGCGACCAAAATTTCTGACATGCCAGAAATTCATCCGACCATCCGGTTGTCGATCGAGAGAGGTTAATCGGCTCTCGTTTCTCCGTGTACACTGCACGAACACTGCACGACAAACGACGCACGACAAAGCTGAAAATCGGTCCGACACGAAAATGAGTCGCACGAGTCAGAATTCGGCTCAAAATCGGACGAAAATCGCACAGTGTATGCCCGCCTTTAGGGGTGAAAGGGAGGAGGAGTATCGGAGTCTGGTGGGGTACTTTGCTCTCTGGTGTCGCACTAACTGCCTACAGCTCAACACCACTAAGACAAAGCAGCTGGTTGTTGACTTTGGGAGGTCCAGATCAAGTCCGCAACCGGTCCTGCTGGAAGGAGTTGAGGTGGAGGCAGTCAAATCATACAAATACCTCGGATTGTGGCTCGATAACAAACTGGACTGGACAACACACACAAGCCATCTGTACAGGAAGAGGCTGTATTTCCTGAGGAGACTGCGCTCTTTTAACATCTGAAGCAAATTGCTATATAGCCCTATAAAGCCTAAATACCTATAAAGCCCTAAATGGTTTAGCACCTATGTACTTAACGGACCTTCTTTCGCCCTACAATCCACCGCGTTCCTTAAGATCACTAAATTCAAGGCTTCTGGTCATTCCTAGGATATCTAAGTCCAGTAAAGGAGGGAGGGCGTTCTCGCATTTAGCTCCAAAACTCTGGAATGGCCTTCCCGATACGGTCCGAGCCTCTGACTCGCTGACACAGTTCAAAACTAGATTAAAGACGCATCTCTTTAGTGAAGCATTCACATAATGCTTACCTTCTAGTCCTCTGTTATGCCATACGGAACCGTTTGCCACTGAAACTGCTTAACGCACCAGTGGGGCTCGACAGCCTTTTAGACAAACGGGTCGGCGCGTATGGTTGGGTTGCGGAGAGTTCGGGTTACGGAGAGTTTGTGAGTTATAACGGAAATCATTATGAACATCAGCTATGCTAATTATTTCCCATCTGCCTTTCAGCTGTTATCTCGGGACGCTTGTCCCGAGAAAAATGGCGTTCGTCAGGTCCAGTTTTGTGTCCAGCCTCTCACGGGGATTTCGGATGCCCCAACGCCTGTGATGAGACGACTCAACGCCTGTGATGAGACGACTCAACGCCTGTGATGAGACGACTCAACGCCTGTGATGAGACGACTCAACGCCTGCGATATGTTATGGCGCCGTTTGATTCATAAACAATATTTATATTTAATATTTATATTTAAACAATATGAATGTAAGCCAGAGGAGAACTGGCCCCCGACTGAGCCTGGGTTCTCCCAAGGTTTTTTCTCCATCCAATCTGATGGAGTTTGGTTCCTTGCCACTGTCGCCTTGCTTTTGGCTTGCTTTGAGCTTGCTCAGTTGGGGTTATTTAGTGTTTAGCAATGTTGTTGATCTGTGTTGTGCTACTTTCATGTTATCAGTGTGAAGCTGCGTTGATACAATCTGTATTGTGAAAAGCGCTATATAAATAAATGTGACTTGACTTGACTTGACTTCTTGCTAAAACTGCAGCTGGAATTTTCAATATCCTTTTGGGAGTCATCCCTAAGGATTAATAAAGATAAGTCTAAGTCTAAGTCTATACTATTCCTTTAATGAGCTGTAGATACATAAAAACATAACGTATTGTATATTGTAGTTTTTAACTCACCAATGACTTTGAGAACCAACTCTCTGCTGTCATACACACTTTCTCCACTGACATAACAGCGAAATGAACCTTCATCCTGAACTGTGAGTTTCTCCAGCCGTAGAGAGACGTCTCCATCCTTCAGTCCACCAGACTGATCCGAGCGCAGAGTCAGTGAGCTTCGGTTCCTGAACGATTCCTCCTGGATGATCTTCCCATTCTGATAGAGGAGAACCGGGTTGCTGAACTCCTGACGGTACCAGCGGATCTCCAGAACTTCAGCGTTCTCAGGAGGAGAGATCCAGCAGGGCAGAGTGACTGTGGACCCGACACGAGCCACTGTCTGATCACGAGGAACCACAACAGTGAACGACTCTGAGAGACACACACAGACACACTGTGCATTAGTCTTTAATGTATGTCTTTACTGTATTTATTTTATTTGACTAGTTACTCGCAGCATTAGCAATACTTCAGCTAAAATGAAGCAAAAAGTGTCCATTATCTATTGTAAATAATGTTACAATGTAGCTCACACAAAAGTCACTTTTAAAGCTGTTTTATGTTTGTCATCGCAATGGATTCAACTTGAATATGAGCGAAACTCGAGCGAAACTTCCGATCGCGCGGATTGCCATTGGAATGACTGAATTAAAGATTCATGTGTAGTTTATTACGTCGCCTTTAAATGCTAATGAAAAACACAGAGAGAAATACTGAATGTTAAATATTATAGATATGTTTTATTTTCAGGGTTGGACATTTTTGGGCTTGCGGTAAAACTGCCATCGATGTTCATGTAAATGCCTTAAATTTAAGATACAGGTGCAAAAACTAAACCGATTGAAATAAAAAGTGTCAATTGCGGAATTATGTTTATATCTGCTCACGTTGCATCAAAGCTTTTTTAAACAGTTTTAATTATAGCATTAATTACAGCATTAAAAAAACCATTTAAGTTTCCACATTAATCCAAATAGAGGAGTTTACATTAGTGACCGCTGAAGAAGAAATCTGCAGTCCCACGAATCCTCTCATCATGAACGACTAAGTTCAGATACATGTCGATAACAAAATCTTTATGCAGTGTCGACAGCGTTATTGATTATAACAGGAGTTTGATGAACTCATTGACACTGATGGAAAAGTTATTTTTTTCACTTTCAGTTGCTATAATTTATTCCCAATTTGAATTACGGTTTTGTTTAAACGCTACTAAGATGAGCAATGTGAACACTTGGGTTTTTTTTTTTTCCAATATCAAAGACAATAATCAACAATAATAATATTGCAGCCCTGTAACATATCCTATTGTTTAATTTTATCATTTATATAGGCCTACTTTATGAAGCCAATTTAAAATTACGATGATCCCATTACATTATGTAATTGTTGAGTAGCTATACATTTATGCCACCCTTGAGCAGCATTAAACAGTCTGTAAGTAAATAAACATGCCATTCCAGTGCCATGTTGGCAGTATAGATGGCTTTTGTTGATGCTGATCAAATTTTATTGGGAACAGATATTTGATTCAATTAAAAAATATGACAAATAAACATATATACATTTGACGAGGTAATTATAAAAGTGCCTTTTACAAAAAAACTAAAAATGCTGCCGAACCTGATAGGCCTATATACTGTATAGCCTATTATTCATTATATTTACGAGTCATGGTTATCAATCTAGTGCAGTTTTGCACACTTTAGAAATACATGTCAGCATTGTAAACAGTGAATGATTAAACAGGGTTAGTTTTGCACTTTGGACTGATATTGAATATTGAAGTAGTGGACATAGAGATAAGAGAGATTGTGTCTCAAAGAACTTATTGTAAGTAATCTTCTATGTCTGAATAATATTTAATCTATAGTGCAATAATAATAGAAAGTGTTCACATATAAAAATTTCTCGATAAATATGAACATTTGTAGATTTCATTTATAAAGCCGTAACTGAATGAAATCCAACCGTGTTTGCTCTTACCTGTAGTCTCTATGAGGAGATTCACCAGTAAAGCGATGATAAAAATAATCGGCAACATTTCTGAGGAAATACAGACACTCAAATAAAACAAACTCTGGGGGATTTTGCCAGAAACACACGAATAATAATCGAGATATTATAAATCTGACTCGTAGTATTCAATGAGGAAACAGAAACTCACCAGAGACACCGAAGACTCGTCCGTTAAATCACAGTGTTAATTATGATGAATTTGAGCCAATAGACACATTCAGCACATTCGAATATAATTCATAAAAGCAGACGAAACTGAGTGAGAATCAAACGTGCTCCTGATTTTCCTCCTGGTTTACTTTCACTTTAACGTCAGTTAATGATCCTCAATAAAACACAGGCGTCACCAGAACACTCAGTATGTTGTAAATCAGCTGTCCTCTGTGTGGATATTGTCACGGTGTGGCTCTGGCTCAGAGGAACGAGGAGACCGGAGTATCGAAGAACAGGTTTTTAATATATATATATATATATATATAAAGGCAGTCAGACAGGAACACGGGCACCACACGGGTTCACAATAAACATCAATAAACATCGACCGACAAAGACAGAGTAAAACTGAGGGAACTAAATACACAGAAATCAAACATAATGGGGTGAAAACAGGTGAAACAGATGAAACAGGACGCTGAACGGGAGGCTGATGAGGGAGTGAGTTCAGGTGTGCAGACGAGAGGATCATGGGAAGTGTAGTGCAGGAGACACAGACAGGATGGTGCAGACGCAGACTGTGACAGAACTCCCCCCTCCCGGGAAGCGTGACCTCACGCCGCAGAACAGAGGAAGGAGGGGGGACGATCTGAGGGCTGAGCAGGGCGTGGCCAGGGCGGAGCAGGCTGAGGGTGAGACCAGGGCGGAGCAGATGGAGGGAGGACCCCTGGTGGAGCCGATGGAAATGGGGCTGACGACACCAGGGGGCCGACTGACAGGGGCTGAGCAAGTGAGAGAGGAGACCAGGGTGAAGCTGAGCGACTGACGAGACAAGGTGCTGACGAGGGACCGAGGGACCATGGTGATAACACAGGCTCAGGTGACCAAGTTGACGACAGGGGCACGGAGGGACACGGTGAGGGCAGAGGGCGTGAGGGCTGACGGGTGACTGGAGGGAGTGAGGAGTCCAACTGAACCGGAGGGGTGACATAACGGGGCGGAGCCAGAGGAAGGAAGTCCATAGGTGAGGGGAGGATGACGAGGGAGCGCAGGGAATCCGGAGGACAGAGGGAGCCTGGCCGAGCTGGTGGACTGAGGGACCATGGAGGAGCTGAGGGAGGTATGAGCCACGGGGGAGCCAATGGGACCGGGGGCCGAGGAAGTGTCCATGTGGAGGAGTTGGGAGGCGAAAACCGGGGATCCCACGACCAGGCTGGGTCAGGGGAGCTGGCAGACGGAAGGGCTGACGGATGCATGACGGGAGGAGGTGGGAGAGGGAGGCTGGGTGGGATCCTGGTCTCGGGCTCTGGCTGGACGTTCTCGGGCTCTGGCTGGACGTTCTCGGGCTCTGGCTGGACGGTCTCGGGCGCTGGCTGGACGGTCTCGGGCTCTGGCTGGACGGTCTCGGGCTCTGGCTGGACGGTCTCGGGCTCTGGCTGGACGGTCTCGGGCTCTGGCTGGACGGTCTCGGGCTCTGGCTGGACGGTCTCGGGCGCTGGCTGGACGGTCTCGGGCTCTGGCTGGACGGTCTCAGGCTCTGGCTGGACGGTCTGGACGGGCTCTGGCTGGACGATCTGGACGGTCTCTGGCCGGACGGTCTGGACGGTCTCTGGCTGGACGGTCTGGACGGTCTCTGGCTGGACGGTCTGGACGGTCTCTGGCTGGATGGTCTGGACGGTCTCTGGCTGGACGGTCTCGGGCGCTGGCTGGACGGTCTCGGGCTCTGGCTGGACGGTCTCGGGCTCTGGCTGGACGGTCTCGGGCTCTGGCTGGACGGTCTCGGGCTCTGGCTGGACGGTCTCGGGCTCTGGCTGGACGGTCTCGGGCGCTGGCTGGACGGTCTCGGGCTCTGGCTGGACGGTCTCAGGCTCTGGCTGGACGGTCTCAGGCTCTGGCTGGACGGTCTGGACGGGCTCTGGCTGGACGATCTGGACGGTCTCTGGCCGGACGGTCTGGACGGTCTCTGGCTGGACGGTCTGGACGGTCTCTGGCTGGACGGTCTGGACGGTCTCTGGCTGGATGGTCTGGACGGTCTCTGGCTGGATGGTCTCTGGCGCTGGCTGGACGGTCTCGGGCTCTGGCTTGGACGGTCTCGGGCTCTGGCTGGACGGTCTCGGGCTCTGGCTGGTCTCGGGCTCTGGCTGGACGGTCTGGACGGGCTCTGGCTGGACGGTCTGGACGGTCTCTGGCCGGACGGTCTGGACGGTCTCTGGCTGGACGGTCTGGACGCTCTCTGGCTGGACGGTCTGGACGGTCTCTGGCTGGACGGTCTGGACGGTCTCTGGCTGGACGGTCTGGACGGTCTCTGGCTGGATGGTCTGGACGGTCTCTGGCTGGACAGTCTGGACGGTCTCTGGCCGGATGGGGCTGGGCGGAACCAGCGATGAGGAGATCTCGGGCGTTGGAGTGGGGCTGGTGCCGTCGTCAACGGTGAAGGAAGATCCACATGACACCAGCACCCACTCCACATAGGCAGCGAAGTTCCACAGAGGACCCTCCCCGGACAACAGCTCTCTGGTGGCGGTGTTGAGGCCAGCATATAGGAAGCTGCAGAGGCTGTCGTCCGGGAAAGATGTGGCTGGGACGAGGGAGAGGAAATCCGCCAAGTGGTCCTCGAGTGAGCGGTTCCCCTGCTCTAAACAGAGCAGATTGACTGCAGCAACGAGGTCCATCTCCTTTTCTTTTGCGGTCGGTCGATCTGTCACGTCAGGAGAGAGAGTTATCTCAGCCGGAGCTCGATGGTGAGTATCAGAGCATCATATCTCAGGTTTGAACACGCACAGCGTGTGTGTGTATGTGTGTGACACGAGTTCTGGTTTTCCAGAGTTGTCCGAAGCCTTTAAGGAGTTCGACTACGATCCCAGCCGAGTGGGATGCCAGGTGTACAAACAAAAACAACGATCATTCGAATGTCACATGTCCAAATCGAATAGGGGATTATTACGCTGATACGCAGGACTTCCGGATCCTGTGATGTTTGTGCCACTTCTGTTGACTCACCGATCTCACTGGCGAACTGATGACGGACTACACTAAGTTTATTTATACGTCATTCCTGGTAAATTAGTCTTATTCACTAAAGTGCCGGCTGCAAACAAACGTGCTACCTTGTTTAATTTTAAAGTTTTAATCCAGTTCTTCATTATACTCAATTCAGTCGTGAATCCATGAAAACTTACGTAGGGTTGGCGTTGTTGGTTAGATTTACAAAGTGGAACAGAGCAGTGGCATAAATAGCATTCGTCTCAGCACTTGTTGAACTCATACGGAAGTGCACATGCACAAAGTTGACAAATCCCGCCCATGAAACCCGGAAGTGTGATAATCCCCCATAGAGCTGGTAAGCCCCGTCCCTTTCGCTAGCCCCGCTGGACCTCTAGGTTGAATAATCGTCAATGCAAGTGAATGAGAGAAAATAATTGTTTTCTGATCCCGTTTGAATTGTGCCATGAATGTAACATATGTTGTCTGTGAATTTTTTATATAATGTTTCGTGTAAAGCGGGTAGAATTTTCATACGGTTAGACTTTGTGGACTACAACTCTTCCGACGTGTTTGATATACATCACCCCCACCAGCACACGGATCCCGCTAAACATGCCTGTGTCTTTGGTGCACTTCACCGCCTTCTTTCAGGGAGAGGACGAACTAGTTGAGGTGGTGAAAACCGTGATTTGTGGAGGGAAAATGTGTAATGCGGCGACGTCACATATGCGACGTGTAGTCTTTCTCGTTATGTCTATTCCACAACTGCTAGCCAAAGAATCATACAATATACTGTCAAACTCGTCACATGAGAAATTATATAAAAAATTCACAGACAACATACGTCACATTCATGGCACAATTCAAACGGGATCATAAAATAATTATTTTCTCTCATTCACTTGCATTGACGCTTTTTCAACCTAGAGGTCCACTTGTAGTTTTACGGGTGGGCGGGGCTTACCAGCTCTATAGCAACCCACTGAACGAATATTGGAATATTCTGGTCCAGCCCTATTATATGTTTAAAAAGTTTATAAGTTATAAGTTTATAAGAATTAATCAAGCAAATAAGATCACTGGACAGTGGACACAAACACCCACTTCATGACTTAGTTGATTGTTTTATGGGTGAAAAAACAGAATTTGTGAATTTCAAACGTCATACTCTTCATTCTACTTTAGAAATGCTCCCATCTGGGCATAGACTCAAAACTCATTTAGCCAGAAGAAACATATTAAAAAATTTGGAATGATAATTTTATATAATTAATTTGTTTCCTTCTGTGTTTGTGTGTGTTTTTAAGCCTTCATGTGGATGTATCTCTGTATCTCCATTGTCAAATTTACGCTCTCTCTCAAACAGAATGGACAATAAAGTTAAACTTGAGCTCATAAACAATAAATCAGCTCTGTTGTCACACAAGGCTGAATGAAGAACAAGATGATAGAGTTTAAAAGTTAATAATCCACTCTGAAGACAGCTAATAAAACAACCTCTAACATAGACGGAGACCAGACAAAGAGTGACTGAGGCGCAACTTATCAAAGCAAACCCAAACGAGATGATATAATCAAACACAGAACTCATAATGAACATCACCCTCAGCCGTCTGTATCAGACTTTGCATTTCAGATCATTGTTTTTTTTTATTAAAAACATCAATCAATGTGCATTTCAACATTAGTTACAGTGTTTTATAAAAGTAAAGTAAGAGCCCAAAGTACAACAATCATCTGTTGAATATCATAAGGCCCCTTTAGATTTTTTATCAAACATTTTAGACATCATGTTTCTCCATCAAAATACAGTAAAAAGTAAATCATATTTTTGAGCATTTTTAGACCCTTTAAGTCTTGTTCCTCCTGTAAGGCTGAAGATTTGGATTAACATTCATAATCAGAGGCTTTTATCAGTGACTTATGTAACCCCTCCACCCGGGTCCCACTCGACCCGCTCTGAGCGGGCCTCGAACCCGGGTCTCCGGCATGAGAGTCGGGCGCTCTAGCAAGGAGGCTAAAGACTGCAGTCTGTCGCTAGAGCATCTATTGAGATCAGGGGAGTGAGGTTTACTCGCACAGCAACTACTAGCTGGCCTCCGTTACACTCACCCCCCTAAACCTCACTCTCATCCGGGTCATGGCACCAATGTGTAACTGGTCTCTTTTCTGCGTTGTGTTTTTCATTCACGTGAGAAGAACAGGACAGGTCTCAGCAGTTTCAGCGATCGTTTATTCTGATGCACAAACAAAATGTAATCAGCCTCTTAGTGAGAAGCGCCCTCTCTAGCTCTATAAAACAAATGTGATGTACACTTGTCACACGTGCTCTCATTTCACATTTAGGCCCAGATGTTAAAACATCACTTAATCGGGACAAAATTACGAAAATAGCCACACAGATAAGTAAAATAACATTATACACAGGAATTAGATTGAAAATTAATTAAGATTATGATTAAAGATGATTATCAGGAGCCCAAAATAACCTCACCTCTCACTGCATCACCAGTGCAAAGAGGAGGAGGAGGAGACAGAACAGGAAATTATATTGACTCATGACATCATTTAAAGGGAAAGACACTCAACTTCACTTAGGCAGTAATATCAGGTATATGTCAAAAAACAATTTTGTGGGAATTCTAATAAACTATAAATACATTTAACAGTACACTTTATGTACCTGTTACACTTACAAATGAAGAACGAGTTTATCGTAAGGGCCAATATTCATAATATACAAGTTTAGACTTCAGCTGAGATGCTGCTGAGAACCGAGACTTTCCTCATCCATATTTCCACCCATTTGGGTTTTATAGCATTTTCCTTCAGTCGTCTCATGTTCGTCCTCTGATCGACTCTGATGTGTAACGATGGGAAAGAGGAAGAAGCATCTGTGTCTGAGGGCCGTTACATCAACGCATCGGTACGCATACGCGTCCACATGGCTATGCATCGCTACGCTTTGGCCGCCATTATGCGTCGATGCGTAGCCAAATGTGTCGTCCTAGTTTTTGTTACGCGACGCACTGATGCACGCAATACTATGCGTTATCGGTGGGGGCGACATTGCAAGAATTGTACATTAATTCAAATATATTATGTTAACAGAAGAAGAAGGTTTGAATTACAATGGCGGGCGAGGAGGAAAAATTATACGAACTTATACGCGTTCATCCGCATTTATACGACAGTTCATCACAATTAGTACACTCAAATAAAATTGCGTTGGAAAATGCCTGGAGAGAGGTTGCAATCGCGATGGGAAAGAGAAAGACAGTAAATCAGGTGAAAACCCAGATAGCAAACTGACATTGAATCAACGTGGAAATATGACATCGAAACAACGTTGATCTGACATTGTTTTGCTCATCGAATTAACGTTGAACCAACGTCAGACGCGTCATTCTTTCAAAACTAACGGAAAATCAACTTGAAATCAACGTTGTTTCAACGTTATGAAAGCAAACCAATTTTCGATTTCATTTAGCTTTGAAGAATGCCGCGTCTGACGTTGGTTCAACGTTAATTCGATGAGCAAAATCAACGTTGTTTCAATGTCATGAGAGACGTCGTTTCCACGTTGATTCAATGTCAGTTTGCTGTCTGGGAACGGACTGGAAAAGTGCCCGTGACAAATTTACCAGCCTGGTTATATGAATTAATGGTTTATGGATATGAATTAATGAATTAAAATACCAAATTAATTAAAATGTGTAATGGTTTTTACATAATTTAAATAATACCAAATTATAAAAAATGTGCAATGGTTTTCACATAATACCAAATAAAATGTGTAAAGTGTTGAATAATAATAAAAAACTCATGCTTAAAATCCAACTTTTATCAATTTATTTGTCAGTGCCACCCAATCGTAGCACACTGTACTGGTGGGGAAACACGCCAGCATCTGATGAAAAGTAATCAGCCAGCTGCTCCCTTACAAGTGCCGCTCTCCGGGAGGGTCTGCTGCTGCCGACCGAAAACCGTGGTCCGTCGACCATGTTCTGGTCCCCCACAACGTGCTGCTTCCACTCCACTCTCCAGGCTGGACCTCTCCGGTGTCAGACGTCGCATCCACAAAGGTGGCGGGCATGTATCTGGCACGGTCAGTGGATGCCAGAAAGTTGTGGAGAGCCACGCACGCCTTCACGAGCTTCACCGCTTTTTCAGGTTTGCAGTTAAAAAATCTACTACCCCCTGTTGCGTGACCGGAGTATTGCATTTTAAGCATCGCCCGTGACGCTTGCGTCTGCTTTAACACTATGAAAGGGAGCGTGTCGCTCGCGTCACTCGCGTTCGCGTTGCTTGCGTTGACTATGTAACGGCCCTGAATCTGCACGAGCTTCATTCGGCCTGAACACACAGGATTGGTCAGTCAGGCGTCTGAGCTGTTCCTCAGTAAAGGTTCACTGGACTCTACAGGTGTTTCTACAGGTTTTGGACAATCCAGAATCATAAGTGAACTCTGATCTCCGACCCCTGGATTAAACAGCGGAGTGACTGATCCAGTGAATCTGATGTTCATGGTCAGCACATGTTTCCTCTCTTTGACATTGTAAAATGACAGCTGACCTTCACCATAATCTAACAGAACTCCCAGTCGTTCGGGTCTCGGCGTCAGTGGGAGAGAAACTGATGGATCAGAGCTGATGTAAAAGCCATTAGGACCGTCTGAACACAAGAACCAGAACCCGTTTGATGGAGTTACAGCAGATCTGTCTTTTACACGAAAGTTTGCATGTTTCGTCACACCAATTAACCAGTAGTTTTTAGGAGGTTTATCTTCTTGTGCCAACTCTACCTCCCAATAGCGACGGCCAGATGCAAATCTTTGAGCTCCGATTGCACATAATTCATATGGAAATCCTTTTCCAGTGTGTTTATAATCTGGAGCGTCTCTCACTGTTTTACGGTCCTTAGAAACGGTCAGACCTGGATGTGAACTCTTAGGATTAATAGTGATCTCAACTGTGAAGAAAATAATGCAACAATTATTAATACACTTCAACGTGTGTGAGATCATATTTACAGATATGTGTATATATGACTAAAGATGATGAAATGCATATGTATAACTGAGATGATGTCATCATACCTGCATGTTTCCTCAGTTCTGCTATATTTGTGTCTCCCACACCTAAAGTGAAAAATTATTTGAGACTTTAGAGAAAAATTCTGGCTTATTTTTAGTGTTTCTTAGTGTGAGTTTGAGTGTGTGTGTGTGTTTGTGTGTGTGTGTGTGTGTGTGTGTGTGTGTGTGTGTGTGTGTCACAAACTGCTCTGAGACACGAAGGTTGAGGATCCAAATGCAGTATTTTTTAAAGGGTTATTATTGGCTGAAATATGTGACACCAGAAACAGAATTTCAATCATTTATATTTGAATTTGAATTGTTAAACTTGAATAATTGCATTGGAAAAACTGAATTTGAATAACATAATTTGAAATTGTATTGTTTAATTTGAATCTTTGGATTGAAAAACTGAATCTGAATTGAATCATTTGAAATTGAATTGGATCTTCACTGAAAAGTAAACTCTCTATACATCTCCACATTCACTTCCCACAATTCAGACTCAGTTTACTGAATTGTTTAAGTGACTGAGACAGACATCCGGGTAGTTGGAGGATGAAGGAAGAGCAATCGAGTGCAGATCGATAGATAGCGTTCATTGGCGCACAGGACTCCTCTTGGGCCAATCAGCAGCCAGAGACCAATCCAGGAAACAACCCAACCGTCTCCATTGACTTTGCATTGCGAGAGGCTGCCTCCTTGTCATTTGACACAACAAACGACCGAAAAATACCTAAAAACTGCTGTGTGACAAGGTGGACAGCAAACAAGATAAAAAACCCAGAAATACAGTTTTATAAGCTGTCGACCCCAAACAACGTTTGTTTTAGGACATAAAAGTGGATCAATTCAGACCGAGCGCAACTAGTTCTCGAACTCCTCTGAGAACTACGCCCACTGGGACACGATATGATATTGAAAAAATAAATAAAAACATTCATCATTTTAACCATTCACCACCCTATGTGAACCTGAGAGGAGGAGATACATTGACAAGTTAAATTTGGGTTAAAGGAGCTAAACGCAAGTATCTGCGTTTTTGCAGAGCTACGCCCCCTCTGGCGACAAGCGAAACTGCAACCAGAGCTGTGTGCGTTCATGGAGGAACACACACACACGTTTGCACGAGCTGTTCATAACCAAAGGAGCATCAGCCGCACACTGTGCGGCACACATCTTTTGTTACAGTCATAATAAGGCAATACAGTAATAAATCATTAAAATCAATAAATCATAAAGTCATTTAAAATATATGAAAGGAAAGGCATTCGAGTACACACTTATCTGTGTGTGTGTGAGGGGAAACGGGGGTAGTAGAAAACTTCGGTTTTTGTTTCCATCTATCTCCATGTGCTTACTGTATCCACTTATGATTGAATTATTATAGAAACACGTTCAGTTATCACTTTGTATAGGACCCGTTTGAGCCCTAGAGCAGACCGGAGATCTCTCCATTTGTTCCCGATGTTGACTCTCGTCTTATTCCGACGCCTGGCACTGGAGACTGAAGTTTTATTTTCTTTGTCTCACGTGGAGTTTGCGTTGGGGTTTGAAATGAACTACAAGCCATATGCAAATTAAATGAAGTGCACGTCACCGAAAGCAACAGATATGAGCTGCATTTTATTGATCATTGGCTAATTTCAAAATCAGCAAAGACAGCAATTAGAGAGATCGGCAACAGGTCTTTTAAATTAAAGATGGTATTTTTAAAAATACCATCTGCGACTTAAGCGTCTGCGACTTACTTTCACTTTGATTTGCGATAGATTGCGGCGCGCTAGCTTGATGAATAGACGCTCAGCTGCTCATCTGAGGTGATGCACATCATCATATATGACTAAAATAACATGACATATAGCTTGGTTTCAACAACCAGATGCATTTACACTTGTCCAGTTTCGTCCACGTCCTCAAGTGGTTTGAGCGATCGGATTCATCCGTCTCTAACGCGTTTCGGAGGGCATTTACACCCTGGTCTTTTCACGATCTAATAGCTATCCGATCACAGAAAACACATGAAGTGACCAGGTGTAAACAGCCCCTTTGAATCCATCGTCTACTTTTGTGGAAAGCTGACTAGAGTTGTGTCGCTCGAGTTGTCTTCTCTGATACGGAGAACGGCGGCGAATAGCTCCACGAGCCTGCCAGACATAGCCAGGCGAGCGTGAACGCGCATGACGTCACGGCCAGTCTCAGATTCGAGCCCGAATCCCTCTTATATATTTCACTGTACAGGATTATAGAGGCGATCTCAGTGATCGAAGAAGGGCTCATTCAGCTCATCAGGCGATTGTTTAAGCATGTGTGGGTTAGAAAACGGCTATTTTTAACATGAAATGTTGCGCAATGCACCTTTAAATAAGTAAAAAAAGTCTGGCTTTTATGGTTCGGAAGCTTATAAAAATGTATTTCTGTGTTTTTTAGCTTGTTTGCTGTACACCTTGTGCACACCTTCGCCTATTTACAAGCGGAGAAACATTTTCTAGCGAGGAAACGGATCTGATTGAAACACACAAGTAGACCATCTACTACAGCACAAAGTGTGCGAGCGTTGTGGACCCGGCTATTACTAACACGCTCTATAAATAACAAAACTGAATACTGTGCCATTGACTTTGACAGGTTTCAGTTGGTCAGTGCCGCAGTCTATTCAAGTTGCCTCGGAGGACGTGTACTCACTCTCTGATGGCTGTGAATGGACATGTGGAGCAGCAGCCCCAGCACACGATGAAGAACTGCCCTCATCTGGAAACAACACCAGTCATACTTTTATGTGAGTGATTTCCACTTGGTCTCAGTGTCTTATGTTTACAAAAATAATTATGATATAAGCATGCATGAAAAAAAAAAACCCAAGATGAATCATATATTTCATATATTTCAGAGCAAAATGAAGGTTCTACTTAATATTCTAGTTAAAATGTATAAATAAATGATAGCTGTGGGATAAAAAAATTAATCCAGAAGAAACTGTTTTACTCTGTAAATTCAATCTAATGAATATGATATATTAGTGTTAATGTACAGAAATAAAATATTCTTAAGAATGTTTTTTCTCCAAGCTTAAAAAAAAGTTTAATAGAAATACCACCCATTTGTGTTCAAGATTCCTGTTACAACATAATCAGGAGCATTTATTACTGTTTATAGCTTCAGATATTATTGCAGATATTGCAGTGATTACACCTCTTCAGATACCTTCTTTTGTCCCTCTCTCCATAGATTCATCATCACGAACTAAAATGAGAGAACATTTCTTCAGTATTAGTGTTTGCTGGAAATGTGTTGTGGTACAAGATAAACTGCACATGAGCATTTATTTGCAGCTTAGTGAATAGCTTCAGATATTATTGCTGATATTGCAATAAATACTCTTCTTCAGATACCTTTTGTCAGACTCTCCATAGTTTCATCGTCACAAACTAATAATGAGAGAAAAAAATCATTTGGAAGATTTATTTATGAATTGTTTCCACAAATACTCTAGAATTTGTAAACCACAATAAATGTAACTGTTAAGCTGATTCATATGTGGTTTTGATCATAAAAATGACATATATTTAGTTTAATTACCTTTTTTAATGGTTTTCTTCCCTGAAATAAAAACATTAAATAAGGATAAAATACCTGCATCAAAAAAATATTAATTAATATAATTATTTTAACCAGATTGTACCTGTTAGTTTAAGTCTTGGTTAAAAAAACCCAAGATGAATCATATATTTCATATATTTCAGAGCAAAATGAAGGTTCTACTTAATATTCTAGTTAAAATGTATAAATAAATGATAGCTGTGGGATAAAAAAATAATCCAGAAGAAACTGTTTTACTCTCTAAATGCAATCTAATGAATATGGTATATTAGTGTTCATGTACAGAAATAAAATATTTTTAAGAATGTTTTTTCTCCAAGGTTAAAAAAAAGTTTAATAGAAATACCACCCATTTGTGTTCAAGATTCCTGTTACAACATATTCAGGAGCATTTATTACTGTTTATAGTTTCAGATATTATTGCAGATATTGCAGTGATTACGCCTCTTCAGATACCTTCTTTTGTCCCTCTCTCCATAGATTCATCGTCACGAACTAAAATGAGAGAACATTTCTTCAGTATTAGTGTTTGCTGGAAATGTGTTGTGGTACAAGATAAACTGCACATGAGCATTTATTTGCAGCTTAGTGAATAGCTTCAGATATTATTGCTGATATTGCAATAAATACTCTTCTTCAGATACCTTTTGTCAGACTCTCCATAGTTTCATCGTCACAAACTAATAATGAGAGAAATATTCATTTGGAAATGTAACTGTTAAGCTGATTCATATGTGTTTTTGATCATAAAAAGGAAAATATGTAGTTTAATTACCTTTTTTAACGGTTTTCTTCCCTGAAATAAAAACATTAAAATGCCAACACATAAAATACTTGCATCAAAAATATTAATTAATATAATTATTTTAACCAGATTGTACCTGTTAGTTTAAGTCTGTGTTTGTACAGGATAAACCCAATCAAGCCCAGAACACAGATGAAGGCGATGATGAAAAGAGCCATCCATGGATCTGATGAATCTGGTGGATCTGAGGAAGACAATCCAGATCAATATAAACTCCTTCAAAATCAACTTTGTCCTGCAGAATTTAGTTCCAACCCTAATCAAACACACCTGAACAAGCTAATCAATCCCTGCGTCCCAATTCGCATACTATCCGTCCTAAATAGTATTCGAAATTAGAATTAGTACGTCCCAAATCGTCGTATGTTGAAATTAGTGTTTCAAAGATACCCGGATGGTCTACTTTTTCCGGTCAGAATCCGAAGTGTAGATCGATGCACACTCTAACGGCTGATATTGCCCACAAACCATTGCGCGTTGGACGAGGATTCGGTTAGAACTACAAACACGAGTAAAAAGTCTTAAAAAAACTACAGACACGTAGTCGAAACGGAGGACGCGCGAGTCCCCGCGGTTGTGTAGTAGAGAGGTTTAGATAAAGAGCTTTGAGTGATTAATTATCAGTATCTAACCTGACGAAAATGGATTTATTCAATGTTGTACACATTGCATTTGCAGCAGCATTGTGAACTTTTGTAAAGACACGTTTAGCCATTACGTTTTAAATGCATCATTATATTCAAATTGCAAACACACGAGGAGAGCATGAAAGACCCACAACTGGCAGATGAACGCCCTCTCCGAAACGGTAGGAAATAAAATTAGATAGAATGGAGGATTTTAACTGTGACAAGATGATTGACAGGGCAGTTTACGGTGACAGGATGCAATGCAGCACGCGACAGAGCCGTCCGTTAAAGATGACGTGATAGTATGTCCCAAAGCTTGCCTACTCTTTGCTACACACTCAAAAGTATGTACTTTTTCCTCACAAAAAGAGTACATACTTTTAGGACGTAGTATAAGTAAGCGAATTGGGACGCAGCAAATGTCTTCAGGATTACTAAGGCTATAGGCAGGTGAGATTTTGTTCAGTGTTGGAGCCAAACTCTGCAGGACAGCGGCTCTCTAGGACCGAAACTTGCCTACCCCTGCTCTATGGTATCAAGTCAACTCACACAGTAATCAAGAATCAGCATATGAATCTCAACAATGGTGACCAATAAAAAAAAATCATGTCGCAATGCATGCCAGGAGAAATGGATAAGTTATGTATTACGCTAGTACCCAGCATGCATTGCAACATTAGTAGTTTTTTTAATGGTCACCATTGTTGAGATTCACATGCTGATTCTTGATGTCTGTGTGAGTCTTAGTAATACATTACAATTTATCTGAAACTTTTTGTGACAAACACTTTGTAAAATCATTCATTCAGGCTAGTGTGTGTTGTGACAGCGTCACTTTTATACTTCCGGGTATGCCGTCACATGTTACGTCACGACGCAACACCAATCAGGATTGGATTAGTTTCATTCATACTTCAGAAGCGCACGCTTAGGGAGCGTCCCCAAAGAGTCGATTTTATCGACGCAGTGTCTCGTTCCCTTCTCAGGGAACAAGGGTTATAGTCATAACCCGAGACGTTTTACGGATGGGCGGGGCTTACCAGCTCTATAGCAACCCACTGAACGAATATTGGAATATTCTGGTCCAGCCCTATTATATGTTTAAAAAGTTTATAAGTTATAAGTTTATAAGAATTAATCAAGCAAATAAGATCACTGGACAGTGGACACAAACACCCACTTCATGACATGTTTGATTGTTTTATGGGTGAAAAAACTGAATTTGTGAATTTCAAACATCATACTCTTCATTCTACTTTAGAAATGCTCCCGTCAGGGCGTAGACTCAAAACTCATTTAGCCAGAAGAAACATATTAAAAAATTGTTTGTCCCAATGACAGTGATTTATCTAATTGTACTATTTTCTAATATATTACAAGAGAATAGCTGGCGTTTTGTTTTTAATGGATTTTTTTCGTTCTTTTTTGGAATGATAATTTTATATAATTAATTTGTTTCCTTTTGTGTTTGTGTGTTTTTAAGCCTTCATGTGTATCTATCTCTGTATCTCCAGTGTCAAATTTACGCTCTCTCTCAAACAGAATGGACAATAAAGTTAAACTTGAACTCATAAACAATAAATCAGCTCTGTTGTCACACAAGGTTGAATGAAGAACAAGATGATAGAGTTTAAAAGTTAATAATCCACTCTGAAGACAGCTAATAAAACAACTTCTAACATAGACGGAGACCAGACAAAGAGTGACTGAGGCACAACTTATCAAAGCAAACCCAAACGAGATGATATAATCAAACACAGAACTCATAATGAACATCACCCTCAGCCGTCTCTATCAGACTTTGCATTTCAGATCATTGTTTTTTTTTATTAAAAACATCAATCAATGTGCATTTCAACATTAGTTACAGTGTTTTATTAAAGTAAAGTGAGAGCCCAAAGTACAACAATCATCTGTTGAATATCATAAGGCCCCTTTAGATTTTTTTATCAAACATTTTAGACATCATGTTTCTCCATCAAAATACAGTAAAAAGTAAATCATATTTTTGAGCATTTTGAGACCCTTTAAGTCTTGTTCCTCCTGTAAGGCTGAAGATTTGGATTAACATTCATAATCAGAGGCTTTTATCAGTGACTTACAAATGAAGAACGAGCAGTTTATCGTATAAGAGCCAATATTCATAATATACGAGTTTAGACTTCAGTCGAGATGCTGCTGAGAACCGACACTTTCCTCATCCATATTTCCACCCATTTGGGTTTTATAGCATTTTCCTTCAGTCGTCTCATGTTCGTCCTCTGATCGACTCTGATGTGGAACGATGGGAAAGAGGGAGAAGCATCTGTGTCTGAATCTGCACGAGCTTCATTCGGCCTGAACACACAGGATTGGTCAGTCAGGCGTCTGAGCTGTTCCTCAGTAAAGGTTCACTGGACTCTACAGGTGTTTCTACAGGTTTTGGACAATCCAGAATCATAAGTGAACTCTGATCTCCGACCCCTGGATTAAACAGCGGACTGACTGCTCCAGTGAATGTGATGTTCATGGTCAGCACATGTTTCCTCTCTTTGACATTGTAAAATGACAGCTGACCTTTACCATAATCTAACAGAACTCCCAGTCGTTCGGGTCTCGGCGTCAGTGAGAGAGAAACTGATGGATCACATTTAGGATCAGTGTTGGTGTAAAAGCCATTATCCCCGTCTGAACACAAGAACCAGCAACGGTTTGATGGAGTTAAAGCAGATCTGTCTTTTACACGAAAATGTCCCAGTTTCGTCACACCAATTAACCAGTAGTTTTTAGGAGGTTTATCTTCTTGTGCCAAATCTACCTCCCAATAGCGACGGCCAGATGCAAATCTTTGAGCTCCGACTGCACATAATTCATATGGAAATCCCTCTCCAGTGTGTTTATAATCTGGAGCGTCTCTCACTGTTTTACAGTCCTTAGAAACGGTCAGACCTGGATGTGAACTCTCACGGTCAATATTGAACTGAACTGTGAAGAAAATAATGCAACAATTATTAATACACTTCAACGTGTGTGAGTTCATATTTACAAATATGTGTATATATGACTAAAGTTGATGAAATGCATATGTATAACTGAGATGATGTCATCATACCTGCATGTTTCCTCAGTTCTTCTATATTTGTGTCTCCCACACCTAAAGTGAAAAATTATTTGAGACTTTAGAGAAAAATTCTAGCTTATTTTTAGTGTTTCTTAGTGTGAGTTTGAGTGTGTGTGTGTGTGTGTTTGTGTGTGTGTGTGTGTGTGTGTGTGTGTGTGTGTGTGTCACAAACTGCTCTGAGACACGAAGGTTGAGGATCCAAATGCAGTATTTTTTAAAGGGTTATTATGGGCTGAAATATGTGACACAAGAAACTGAATTTCAATCATTTATATTTGAATTTGAATTGTTAAACTTGAATAATTGCATTGAAAAACTGAATTTGAATAACATAATTTGAAATTGTATTGTTTAATTTGAAACTTTGGTTTGAAAAACTGAATCTGAATTGAATCATTTGAAATTGAATTGGATCCTCACTGAAAAGTAAACTCTCTATACATCTCCACATTCACTTCCCACAATT